CCTAAGAGCAAGAGATGAAAATATTTAACACAATCAATGTATTAACTAAAATATTCAAATAGTTATTGTATTCATTTGCAGTTTTCCACTGTTATCTAGATCTATGTTAAGCTAAATATTTCTCAAAGATGAAATCCCCTCTGCTATCCAAGCCAGTTAACTTCATGGGCCTTTAGCTCCAGCAGGTGGATCACTGCCTCTGCAGGGCCTCAATTTACACTCCCCATAACTTGAGTGTGATAGAGAGAAGGTCTATCAGTATGGAGATGAGACCGAATAAAATCCAGGGATTTCACAGCTCGATGACTTTGCACTAATAATGTACAATCCCTATTATAACATGCCCCTTGGGACAAGGTATATACATAAACACTGATGCATTTGAGGGGAAAAAAGACATAGGAGCTTAGCCATTCTTCTCCGGAGGATCGCCAAGAGGCAGGAGAGGCTGAAGTTGTAGAAAAGGTACCCCAGGGGGCCCTGGCAGGAGTGATGAGGAGAGAGGAAGCATGAGTGAGAGTTAGCGAGGTCACACACTCATGCACACGCACACACAGTGACCCCCTGCAGACAAAGCCTCCGCAGGCTCCTCTGGCCACTGCCGCCGGCCTTGGAGACACACCTCCAAGAGAGATGGCCTAGCTAACTCTCCATGGCAACTAATCAATAAGTGACAGACTCAGTCAGGACTGACCCGTAGCAGAACACGTATGACCTCCCCCCATGTTCCCAGGGTTACACTCCCATAAAACTCACAGACCTACACTAAAACATAAAGTTTTAAACAAATCAAAGATGATCAGTGCCTCAGGGGAATAAATCTGTGCTCGTATGCATGCACAAATGTTTCTGTAAAGTGAGTCCACGATTGCCACACGTGATCGAACATTAAGTGATGAGTGCCACTCTTTGACAATAGCCATATGATCTGAGCACACAGTCAACACACAGCCATTGTGTATCTGTCAATCTGGGTTCCTTCTCACTGTCCTCGGCAAACACTAATCAATATTTGTGGCCTAGTTGAGCGGCCTAATCTCTTGCTTTTTGAGCCCCCTCAGCTCCTTTGCCCCTGACTGTATTGTCCCAAACTGAATGTGCTCTCCCAGGGCATGGATACATCACTGCACTCAGACTTGGCCTCATTTTTTGGAGGTACTTCTAAGACAGGTCAGAAGTGAGGTCAGAACTCTAGTTTGGCAAATTAAAAACGCTACATGCTCCAGTGTTCATAGACAAAATGATGAGCAGGAAAGAAGAAGAAAAGCAGCATCTGCGAAAGACACACTCTTCACTCACACACTTTGGGAGCAGCCGTTTGTAGATAATTGCCCTTACAGGTTATTCAGGAAGACACCTCCTAATCCAGTTTCATTCCATGCTGCTGCAAGTGTAGTTTTGCACGGCTTCCTTTATCCACAATCACAAGCGAAAACAAGTTCAAGAAAACCTCAGTCGGGATTAGGTGAACAAAACCTCAAAAGACTTTGGTTTGAAAAAGTCTAAACATACAGGACGCAGGCAGAGGAGTATACACAGTGCTTCCATTTCAACTGTTCGTGTGATTTGTATTGGTTTTGTTCAGCACAAAGCAGCTATAATCCCGTCTCATATTTGAAAAGTCTCATATTCACACACACCTGCTGGGACAAAGTAAACACACCTTCACACAGACACCTTAATGGATGACCCTCACATTACAGGCTAAGGCCTCTATAATCCAAAACAAGTGCACAACAACAGAGGGCAAAGCGACTTTCTATTACGGAGATGATTCATGAGTTAAACACGACTGTTTGTTTGACCTTATCACCTTGGCATCTGAATTAAATGTTCATACATACATTTGTAAATATATTTTTTTGAGTTCAGTTTGATTTCATTTCAAAAGTTGTAGCTTTTTGTAAAAAAAGAAAAAATATGTGTAATATTTATAACATAATAGAAAATGTTATTATGTTCCCTAATTTGCTTAAAATTTGAACTTCCTTTGAGTACCTTTTGACTGTCTTACCAGTAGCTGAACAATTGCCTATACAAAACATGTTTTGTGCAAAGTACGCGAGTAAAGGACAGTTAGAAAGTCTCTTTCAAACAAAACATATTGTACTTATTCCATTGGAAAATGCTCTTGAATAAGGATGAAAAAATCCTGACTTACAGTTTATTGACCATAGGGTTAATTCTTTTGATTATATCTATGTTGTGCTATAATCCAGACCTCTATAATATTTTTCTGTATCAGCTAATCAGTCTATGGATTGTGTTTTGTTTGGGTTTGTTTTTATTGAATTGAACACTTACAAGTTGATTTGATTTGATATTTGGACTCATGAATCGTGAATTGCATTGCAGTTATAATTTTTCCAAAATCAAATTAAAACATTAATTGTTTTTTTTTAGAATGCAACTCAAAACACAATATATAACAAGACATAAATACAATACAATAAACCAGAGCTAGCAGAAGTACAGCTTTACACACCTTTTACCTGTGGTGCTTTAGGATCTACATTTCGTATGTCTCTACTGACATTCTACAAGGCTTCATTTGGCTTATAGACGTAATGACGAGTAACATTGAAGGGCGGATGTACTTTGTTGTAAAGAGGCATGTTTGTCTTTGAAGTACTTCCCACTTGGCATTCCTTGCGGTTGTGTAAGGCAATGGCGATACAACCACAGCTATCATTAATGAGCCATTTGCATCACGGAACAAGTCTGTCAGCGCTCGTGTATATTCAAGCACAGGCCTTGAAGTGGGATGCTCTCCACACGAGCAGTGAGAGAAGAGTGGTCAAATGCTCCAGGAGAGTGAGTGGATGAAGGGAGACTGGAGAGGGATGGCTCTCGGTGGGTCAGCCTAAAAGCCCTGACCCCAGGAGGATTTGATGCCATTTTCCCACGCAGGGAGTCGACCTGAGAGGAGCTCGTTAACAACATCTGCCCCAGTTCAGGGAGATTAACCCCCACCCCGGCCCCCGCACCTCCACATACACGCCACTCTGCTGTCAATCTAAACTTCTCTGCACTGGACAGGGCCGATCAGGCTGGGCCGCCCGGGCCCTGCAGCCCTGAAGGCCTGTTACTACTGTTAGCATGTAGTCCTGGCAGAGGAAACTCTGTGACAGGCTGCTGATATCAGAAGGTGTGCTCGTCACTGCGAGTTACCTGTCCGGTCCAACAGCCATCTAGTGATGTCACTCATGTCAGACTGTCAGTCAGATTTGTGTAATGGGTTTCCACGCATCACTCTGACGTAAAGAGAAAACCCATTCCGATCTTACGTAGACAACTCACTACGGTTAAAACATGTAGTAAAACACATCATCACAAAATGATCTAAATATTGAGAGAACAGCTGTGATATTCCAGGGTGCATGTATTAATATAGTTCAACCATACTGTGGCCACTGGGAATCAACTGAATCCATGTTCTACAAAGCTATAATTAGGTTAGTTTTTGGAGAGGGGGTTAAATAAACAGGACTGTGAGGTCACAGGCAGATGGAAGTGGGATATGCCTGCACTTGCTGAGTGGGCACAGAGCTGCACATGACCGGAGAGAGAGGCCCCAAGGCTCTGTGTGAGGGGGGGCCGAGGGAACCTGTCTCAAACAGCCTCACAGCCAGAACTAAAAAACTTTAAACCATATCAACCCACTTCCTCCAATATTACTTTAAAAAATTTAACAGGATTGAGAAGGAAGGAAACTTTCCTATTTCAGTAAAGTTTGAGCGAAATATTAAAATGAGAGTAAGTTTAGCTTTTAAGAAATAAACGTGGCCACACACTCCAAAATATAGATTAGGATACTTTTTTTTTATATATATCTTAATTACAAACATTTTTTGTGTGTGATTAGGTGATGGCTGGCTACTGGCACGCTAGAGCGACTTAAGACCCCAGAGTGAATGCAGGGAGGTCGAGATAATCTTTCCCTCCTCAAAAGTGTAGAAGCTAATCCAGGCTGCTGTGTTGTGGGCTGAAGAACCCTGACCACCATCTGTGAACAGGGCTGGAATACAAGTTTAATTGTCTCATTAATTGTGTTTGAAAATATAAATATTGAATTAAATACATTTGCATTTACATTAAAGTATTTCAGCTGTAACACTTTAATATTAAAACACTTGTAGTGTATGTTTTGTTTTAGGCAATTAAATCTGTTAAACTTCCCCATAAGCTTGTGCACTTTTAGGATAAAATTAACCATACAGACTGAGAATTCAATAGAATTCAGTGCAAACATTGAAAACTCACGTTTCCAAATCGCCCATAAAGCGAGTTTAACGCCTATGGTTAGCAATTATTTTTGTCTTATTGCAGTGAATGACAGCAAATACACATGTGACACAAAACACAGAATAATGCATTATATTTTGTACAAATTTATTTAGCATTAAAGAATAGAGGATGGTCTTAAAATATGTAGAAACTTCAGTTTAAGTAAACCTTTTCGTTCATGAAACTGAGTAAACATGACACTGTCAGAACCATCGGAGAACAAAACACTTTACAAAACAATGTGGTATTTTCACACAATATGGAGATCACAAACTAATGAAAACATACTATAAATAAAACCTGTTTGCGACCTGCACAGTCTTAACATTTCATTTAAAACTATAAGTCGAGGACAAAAAAAGACTACAAAATTTGGACACAGTCAATACATCCGACATTCTACAATTTAAGTGTAAACATTTATGAACTTTCCATCCAGCTTTTCTGAAATATACAGCCTCCACACGAGGCCACGATGCCTTTTCATGTACAGAAAATATGGCATTAGTTAAAATATAGAAGTCCAGTTCTTCTACAAGTTGATTGCTTATACTTGTGATAAAAGCCTCTTACGCATCAGTTCAACGCTCATTGGATCCATTTCAAAAGCGCAATGGACAAGTCCAACTTTTTGAAATAGTTTTGAACGTTATAGCAACCAAAAGGTTCAAGTATCCAAGTACTACTTTATAAAGTTCGAGTGCGTGGGGGCCTCAGATGTGCGTGAGGGGCAGTGTGCCGTTGACGCCTGTGCCTGCGCTCTGGTAGTGCGGGTGAACGCTGTGTAACCGGGAGCTCTGAAGAGATGAGTGCTCCGCGCTGTCGCCTCCGGGGGGCAGGTACATGCTGATCATGTCCCGCAGGTCACCGAGACACGCGCGCTGTGAGTGCGACGTGATGGCGGGCGGTGGGGAGCTGGGTTCGCTCTTGCACACGGAGCCCATGGAGCTCAGGCCCATGTTGGAACTTTGCTGCGTGTAGGCTGGAGACATACTGTACGTGGAGGCAGCGTTCATGTAAGTCTGCGCAGAGGACATCATGGGATACTGCAGACCGGCCATCTCATAGCGGTGCATCTGCTGGATCTGTGGGCTGTTCATGCTGTGGTGCTGGGGGTACGCGAGCTGGTCCTGCATCAGGGAATACGCGCTGTTCGTCCAGCCGTTCATGTGCGCGTACCCATCCATGCGCTGTCCCACTGAGACGGAGTTGTTGACGGGATTTGTTCCAGGCGCCAGCAGTCCTCCGGGCAGAGAATACTTGTCTTTCTTGAGCAGGGTCTTGGTCTTCCTGCGGGGCCGGTATTTATAATCCGGGTGCTCCTTCATGTGCATGGCGCGCAGTCGCTTGGCCTCGTCGATGAACGGTCGCTTCTCAGCGTCTGTCAGAAGTTTCCAGTCGGCTCCCAGGCGCTTGCTGATCTCAGAGTTGTGCATCTTGGGGTTCTCTTGGGCCATCTTCCGACGTTGTCCCCGTGACCACACCATGAACGCATTCATGGGACGTTTGACTCTCTCCGCGTCGCTCACGCTGCTGTTCTTGCTTCCCGGTGCCGAGCCCGTGTTGGACTGGGGCAGCGGGGTCTTCAGCTCCGTCTCCATCATGTTATACATTCAGGCGGCTGGTGGGTGCACGCGGCACAGAAGTTAAGGTAAAGTTAGAGGTAGGAGCTTTAGTTAAGAGAAGTTCTCTGGGCACAGTCTCCTCTCTCTCAAACTCAAGTCTGAAACTTGTCCGCCTGCCTCCACTGTTAATAGACCGAGCAGCCGAGTCATGTGACCTGGAGTGACAGCATAACAATGAGAAGCGCACAGCCAATCACAAGCCAGCCAATCAGAGCGCGCATCACCGTGTTTTGGTTAGTAAAGGAGGGACAGTTTTTACTCATTTTCCAAAGTTCACGATAACTACAACCAAACCAAATAGCCTACTATTTTTTCTTGTATTATTTCTGTATATATGTCAGCTGGTATAGGTAAACTAAACACATTACTATCCACATAATCCGGATTATTGCTGTACTTTCCTTCGATCAGGCAATTGTTTACCAAGGTAATAACGTCGCGATCTCACAATTGTTTATTACAGCTATAAGAAAAACGAACTAAAAGCTGTACTTTATTCATCCCATATACGGCAATTCATGTTCTGCATTTGACCCGCATCCTGATGCCACTAAGGCTCTCGTCAGGAGCAGTGAGATCCATCTCCAGTTGTTGATGCTCGGCTTGGTCAGGACTATCGCAGCTGGAGGATTTTTCCTATTGTACATGTTTTTAGCGGTAGGAGAACCGGAGCACCAGGAGGAAACCCACGCAGACACTTACTATATCGCAAGATACAAATTCCTTAGAGTTAAATATTATTTGAATTTAGCCAAAAACTTACATTATTTGTTGAATTAAATTTTATTTGGTGAAAACTAAAGTTAATGGGGATTTTTCCAGAGCCAGGCAAGTGGAAGGAAATACATACAAACAACTGAAATAAAACATAACTCACTTAAGTTGAAGCACATATTTTGTATGTCATTATGTCCTTTTTATGACATTTAAACCAATATTTTAATGATTAAAGTTTTAACTATACTGTAATAGCAATGTTAGCGAAGATCCACACAGCAGGCTCCGGGCTGGAGTGGAGCGAGAGGCGCCACATAGAACATGAACGACCTCTTGTGGAGGAGAGAGGCCTGGCCTCAGCGGTCTGGCCTCTGCGGTCTGGCCCACGTCTGCAGGGAAAAGTTTGTTTGAGACGTGTTGAAATCCACGCTCTACACTGGACCCTCTTAAACTCGTCCGAAATTCGACACCTCCTATTTGTTCACTTGTTAGTAGTCAAGTCTATACAAATATGCTAATTTGCAAGTGTCTCGTGGTGAAACTCTGAAATAGCGACAGAAGTGCTCACACCTGCTAATGACTCTGAGCCATCGAGAGCACCCATTTACACCTAGTATTTACATATGGCATTTCCCTATATGCGCATTTTACATCCCACTAGGCTCAGGATTTGAACAATTCTTGACGCGTTGCCTGTCCCTTTCGTTTTACGCACAAAACATTAAATAGAGCAGGTCACAATCCACGCGACATATTTAAAATGTGAATAACACATATTTAAATAAGTTAGCGGTAAGTAACTGCGTAATATACACTTATAACCTCAAAGACTATAAATACATTAGTGTGAATAACACTCTTTATTATAGATTGCGCATCAACAATAAGACAATGGGCCTATAGGAGACTGCCCCCGCTTGCATCAGGACGCACGGGTCGCCCATGGGGCGTTTCGGGAGCCATAAATTCAACGTCCAATTAGTCGCCGTGTCCTTCTCCGGGAGCAGTTATTTGTTTATCTGGCCACATCTCGGCACTGATCCTCTTGTAATCTGCTTATGGAAATGGCCCGGTAGAAAAGGAGAAGAATGGGAGCTGCAGTAGCTCGGCTCCTGGTAATGAGGGCCTGCGTGCGGCTAATTTCCCCATTAAGCAGCGCGGGACCACCACGCAGCTCTGCACTGGCCTCCACCACAGACGCAGGCTGCTGTGTGCGCGTACGGGCCGCATGCTTCAATGACTTCACGCCAATGATCCAAATATCAAATTATATCGAATATATTGATCCATTAAAAAGAATAGACAGGCTAATTTAAGTTCGATGTGTTCAGCCTAATATAAGAAGTAACGGCTTTGAGCACCGAGGACACATGTTAAGAGATTTAAACGATTTAAATTTAGATCCGCTAATTTGCACACAAATGGCACATTAATCCCACCTTTGTCAACTGACAATCGTGTTTAGCCGCATCTAGCGAAAGCGTTAAATTTAAGTACTCTTTGAAAAAAATAAAATAATTTGAATTGAAGAATCAATTTTCTTTTGTCAATTATGAGCGCAATATACATTACCTCTGCATACATAGTTTTGGAAATTCTCAAATACGACCTGAATGAGACAATCTCATTAAGATTGTCATGATTTTATTATGAAGGAGGTCAGGAATGCGAATGAAAATGAAGATACAATTTACGCACGGTCTGCTGTTTCCATTGTGTGGACATGAATGGCGCGTCCCCCAGTTCAACACAGGTAAAATTATATTACCGTGTCATTTAGGGGGAGTAAAGTTGTGCCATAATCACCTCTTAATTTCGCACTATATATTACCGTTGTTATAGTGAAGCCAATACAAAGACAACGCGCTAAAATTTAACAAACTGACAAAACTATATCATCGTATCTAACAAGCAACAGGTTTGACTTGTTTTGCAATTAATGCATGAAATAATTTGGTTTAGGAAGCGCACAAAATAGAAAATAAAAACAATAATCCGACATATTATTTTAGTGAACAAGCAAGACATTTAAATATGGTCCGTTCCCGTTTATCATTTGTGTCTATTTTATTGTGTATTATGTCTGTGTCTTTTTAGTCAGAAATTACAATTGATTCAGATCAAATAAAGGATTAGCCAGATTTACAAATGAACCATATAAATATAAACTTAAGAATATAAAGAAAAGACGAAGTGTAAATGTTTGAATGAGTAACTACCCTTGCACTTGTTGGCAGATGCTGCAGTCCCTGCTCATTAGTCCTATACTAACACTATCATCTCTTTCATGTGTCTCACTGAGGTGAACAGACAAGGCGTGACCACGGCCACACTCTCCTGCTTGTTCATGTCACTTATCACATCAGGATTTCAGAATGTTACAAGCATCATCAAACGCACCGCTCTGTGCACTCAAATTAATATGCTCACTGACCCTTTCAGTGCCTGTAATTAAACGTACATTTACCAGAGCTTATTGACTAATGAGGCTAAAATATAATAAAAATTAACACCACACGAGAAGACATCAGTGAGTGCATTTTTAAATGAATAAAGATTTTTATTTGTCATCACTGAAAGAGGATTTAACTAGTCGATTAGGGAACAGTCACAAGGAGGCATTTGGGATATGGTGCGTTAAATAGGAAAAAGAAAAAAATGAACGAAAGCGATGAACCCAGAGTCATTAGCAGCAAGTTTCAATTGAGATTAAATTAGGCAGAAAAATGTTTTGAAATATAATGTTGTTTCTGAGTGGGTGCTTGTCGCTGCATCAGTAACATTACAGTGGCCATAAAAATGTTGCTTTATTCATGAAGATTCAATAATCATAAAATATAATTTCACTGGCTTTAAGCTGAATGCCATTTGAAATCCTTTTATTGACAGTAGTTGCTATCAGTTGACTAATTTCATATAATCCTCGATCTATCCTTAAATGGCTCCTGGCTAATTACGGCGGTCATTATTTCTCTTGTATCTTTTGAATCACTGCATGTTCACTATGGCACAAACAAAAGAAAACTTTCAGTTTTTTGTTTGGAAGAAAGTGCTGAATGGTCACTTTTGGGTTGAGCTGCGCCCAAGCAAGCAGCTCTCTTTTGTTTTAGGCTTAATTGAGATCCTACTAATCTAGCTTCAATAAAAAAGAAACATTTTCTTTGTGAAGCCCTCATTAATTTAAGATAATATTATGAGAATACACAATTAATTTGCAGTACTTGGATTAATAACATGGATTAATTAAATATGGCATTTTTCTAATATGATTTATGTTACCATGTTGCTATCTGCACATTCCAAAATTAACTTGTTACTCTGCAATGCATCACATTAATTGCAAAAATTCTGACCTAAAATGGGAAAGGTAATTTTCAGAGGTAATTTATTAAGCTTTAATTTAAGAAACAAACAAGCCTAAATTGATATATAAATCATGAGTACAATTACCCACAATCAGAGGGATTTGATAAAAAATGACACATTTTTGTTGTGAGTCAGGCACTTGATAAAACAGATAGGACTCACACGTTTAGTCATTGGCCAAGTCTCATTAAAAAGGCATAGTTTAATTAAGAGTTAGCCATCGTCCTCCAAATGTATTAATTACCTTGAGCATGACGAGATGACGGCGCTGATTACCGCTGCTTCATTATCGTGGTCTTGTGGGAGAAGAGCAAACGAAGGTGGAGCTGCTGCTTTGACAGGATAATGGATGATCCCGGAGTGGTCACCTTGCACTGGGCTGAGCTCCGCGAGGGACACTCAGGACAGCAACGAGAAAAAGACACTAATTAATTATTACACAAAGAAATATATACATTTAATTGAAAAAAAAAACTTTTAATCACAAATTGATGCTAGCTGTGTTTCTGTTCCTACTTATAATGAATTAAATTATTCCACTGTATAATAAATATATCATTTGATTGACATGAACTCTAAAATAACTTGTAATAAATGTGGTCAAATGTATATTATCTTTATGTCTGTAAATGTATCTATGGATACATATATTTTATGTGTTGTTCATGATTTAGGGAGGGGGAAACACTTGGTGTAGATTTGGGGCTATCCAACCCTGATAACAATATGCAAGTGTGCGGTGGGGACGGCTCATTGCCCCACAGACAGATCTGTCAATGTAACGTACAAGATGTTACCGCAGCTTTAGCAGGATTTCTGCACTCGCTCCTCTTGTGCCTGACAGGAGCACAAAGAGCTTAAGCTACTATCTGCTTGCGAGCTCTCCCTGTGTCCATTCATTTTTGAGGTGTGCAAACATAGATGTATACCTTTGTGATCAGCATGGATTCACTGAGGAGGAAACTAAACAAAATAATGTATGAAAACCAAATAGCAAATACATCACAAAAAAGAAATTGAAAAATAAGAATATTTTGGTAATTTTATTCAAGCTTGTGGTCTTATTTGAATACCTTGAATTCAGAAAGCAACAGGTGAAACGTAATGCCGCCATAATTGTAATCTCTGTCAGATAGTGTTTATTCGTACGGAAAATACATTAATACAGCTGTGTGGAAATCCGTCTCACAGAACATCCCCTCCCTCTTCTCTGCTACCTTTACTGCTAACCTCCTCCCACTCTGGCCAGTAAACTGAGGACACTCACCATGCTGGGGCTTCTCCAAGGCTGCTGCTCCTCTCCTTGTTTAGACACACCTTCCACCACAGCCAGCCGTCAACAGCCTGCACCAACCACAAGGAGCGATGGCAGAGGAACAGCCAGACTTCATCCACCAGTCGTCTAGAAGAAGCCTCTGCACACGCCGAGAAGCCGAGAAAGAGTGGAAAAGCGTCCAGTGCTGGTGTGGTACGGCACACTGCAGCTGAGCTCTCCCTGCTCTGGGACCCATCTCATTCAGCCAAGATTGCTTCATACAAAAGTTGACAATGCACCAGTGAAAGCCATTGTTGATATTCAACATTTTTTAAATAGCTGAGCAGAATAGACAACATGGCAGGCTGCAAAACTTGGCAGGGAAAACTGACCTGGAGCTTCCTGTTTAAAAGGCTTGCCATGCTAAGTGAGAGCAGCAAGAGCTATTGTGTTAAAAAAAATAGAGCTGCTGTGAAAGAGCCCAAAAACAAAACATGTCCTATCACACGGAGAGCAGGGCACAATAGTTTCTATGCAGCAGAAAGAGGACAATCATGCCACCCGGACACAAGCATATGCATCACCAAAATTAGACTGGCTGAAAAAAACCCAGAGCAATCAGATTCACTTAGCCTAAACTGCCATCTCACTGATGTATGCCCATATGAGAGAAACAGACAGACTCAAGACCAATATGAGGGTACCGTGGCTGGACTCCAAGGGAATGTCCTAACAAAACCTTTCATTCCTCTACTATTGCACACAGCAGGATCACACTTCTGCTGCTAATGGTGTTACATTTCCATCATTGTCAAGTTGACAGGCCAGCAGATTGATATGGATATTTAAGACACCTTCAACCCTCCATATGTGTGAGCGCAACAGCAGCGCTCGTGTCCCAGATCCTATCAAAACAACTAGAGGTGTGTGTGTGCGCGCATGTGTGTGTGCGTGTGTGCGTGTGTGTGGCCTCGGGCAGGTCCCAGTGTTGTGTTTCACTCACCTCGTGTCTCTCTGCACGGCCAGAGTGGGCGGGGTGCCTTCTCAGACTGCCAATGATTAATGTGGATTTGAGAACCCCTAAAGCGGAGGTCTCTGAAGTGTTTTCTTATCTTTGGAATAATAAATCAAACAACTGATGTCTGCTTTAGGTCAAAGCTTAGAAAAGGTTCATGCAACATCATAAAAATATAGCTAGAAATACATTTATGCTCAACTTCCAACTAGCACAGGGTGTTAAATGTCAGTTACTCACAGCAGATGGGGTCATTTTTCATACAGTTTTGGTTTGTCCTTTGAATTACTGTTTTATCGCTTAGACTTCGGTTATTTTACACAGAGGATTTTATGTGGAAGTCTTTGGTAACTAAATCTGTGCATGCTCGCTCGCTTCCCACCTGTCTTTGGAATATGAGATAGTGGTTTCAGCGGAGTCTTTCATCCCTCCGAGTCTTGACAGTATGCGAAACAGAGAAAACATGGCCAGTCTGCACCACGGGACAGTCTTAGCCTCAGTAAGAGATGTATAATTAGAGTGATCGGGAAGAAATTACAGTGTTGTGAATGGAGGCCGGGCCCTGCGTAATCTCAAAAGGTGTGTCTGTTGGCTGAGACAGAGAGAGATTTGGAGAACCTGTGGCGTCCTGACTGGAAATCCACGTTGGTGCCACCCATCACACACATTAGTTGCCATCAAAGCTCTAATTTTACTCTAGCATTACACCCCTCTCCTGGTACGCCCCTCCCTCCCCTGCTGGTGTGGATGGTGCAGCCTGGTGGGAAAACGACATTCAATCCGCTGTCCAACCCATTCAGTCCAAATTGGCAAATAACAGCCTTTCTGCCTCTCATATTTCGTGAAGTGAAAAGCAACGATGCGACCACAAACCGGAGGAACAGGGGGAGGTGATGCGGAGCAGTGGCTGGAGAGAGTGGGCCAGAGGTGGGTTAACAGCTTCCCTTGTCGCCCTCTGCAGAGACTGCGCTGGACGGAAAATAGAGAAAAGAAGGGAAAAGAATGGTCACTCAGCAGATCAAAGAAACTTCCCCGAGTCCAAATGAGAGACGGTTGACCTCGATCCCCTAATCATACACTTTAGCGGTGCCGTGGCAGGATGGCAGCAGCGTTTGCCCTGGTTCAGGTCAAGCTCACTGAGAGGAAAGCTCAGACTTCACATTTAAATAAAACAAAGTAAAAAGGTTTCTGACTTAAGAGCAAAACCTAGATGAGGGCCAACGTGAGAATGATATAGACTGTAATTAAAGGTTAGAAATAGAAAAATAAATTGATTGATAGCTTGATTTCAGTATATGACGGGCGAGTGAGACAGGCGAGTAGTGATTAAATAAATCAAATGTAAATAAAAATCTGCAGGGAAATTTGTCCTCTGCATTTGACCCATCCTGATGCCGCTAAGGCTTCCGTCAGGAGCAGTGGTCGCAGTAGTACAGCACCTGGGAACCCATCTCCAAATGTTGGTACTCGGCTTGGTCAGGACCACCAGAGCTGGAGGATTTGACCAATTGCGCATGTTTTTAGTAGTAGGGGAAACTGGAGCACCCAGAGGAAACCTTCACAGACACGAGGAGGACTTAGAAACTCCACTAAGAATGACCCTGTTCCGACCAGGATTCGAATCCAGGATCTTCTTGCTGAAAAGCGCGAGTGCTATCTACTCAACCACCATGCCGCCCAAATTCAATTTATTTATGTATAGCCCTAATCTCAAAGACTTTACAAAATTGTGTCTGTCTACATTCCCTCCATGGACTGTATACAGATGGACAATGCTCAGCCTCAAGCAGCTATAACTCATTACTTTGTTTAACTTCAATAGGTTGTCAGCTAATGGTGGTAAAATAAACAATAACATCATTACTTCAATAATGGTGACAATTGGTGACATTACCGTAAAGATAATGGAAATTATATCACCTATTTAAACCTTCACAAATGTCCATTTCTATCAGTTTTAATCCCTCCAAAAATATGAGAGTTAGATAGTGACAGGGTTGTTTGTGTTATGAACTACTAGATTAATGAATGCCTGCTATACTAACGAAATGTGTACATAATCAGCTGTGATTTGTGCACATTTTGCCATGAGACCACATAGAAACATATTGTGTCAGACTCTTAACAGGCCGCCTGGCTGAATAGTACTCGTACTCCTAATTAAGTGCTAATGGCAGTCCCCCCTGCAGAGAATACTAATTAATGCTCTATTCTTGTGTGGCCTGAGCGCGTACTCCACAGCGGCCTAATGAGCGGAGGCAGGTACGGCTTCTCCAGGCTGCCCTAATAGGGACAACACACTGAGAGGGCCATTCCAGGGGGCTGCTTCCTGTTCTCTACAAGACCCCCTCACAACACTACAATGAAATGAAAGGGTTTTGTCCCATAAAGTCCAGAAATTAGGCAAGCCTATCTGACTACCTGGATACTACTTCAAAGTTTCTCTATAATGGATCTGCAGTTACAGAAATTTGTTTGAGTTACAATGATAAATTTGCCCAGCAACATGTACAAACAAAGTTGTAAACTGTATCAGGTGAATATGATGCACTGGAAAATAAACTGGTTTTCAATAGTGTCTATATATTGACGACTTTTTCCCATTTCATGTGTGTCTTTCTACAGAATTATTCTCTCAAAACTGCTGATGCCTCTTAGAAAACAACTTCCATTTTATATAGTTCCTGGGGCCTGAGAATGTGCACTGCCAGGAAATAAATAAATACATAACCTGTTTGGATGCAGAAAGCCTGGGAATCAGATTCAAAGTGCTGAAGAATGAATGGATGTGCGAGTATGCGGGTGTGTGCAGGAGCGTAAACATAGATTGAGGGTGGTATTGGAATTACCTGAGTGAGATAATGGCAGTGCATTAGATTAACTTTCAGCCCCTAAATGCAACACATTTAGGCAATCTTGTCCCCCAAAAACATGTCAATGTCTGAAAGGCCTCCCTCTCGCTATCAGGAGCCTCTGGTCCCCCACACTGATGCAGCTGGCAAGGCGCTAACGGTGACTGTCAAAACGCAGCGCCAGATCTAGTTATAAAATAATTGAATTTTCATATCAGAGGGGACCAGAGTCCCAGCAGACAATAGGACTGCTGAGTCCTCTCTGATATTGGCTCAGGCCCTTTGCCATGCGCATGAAATCAGTATGTTAATGTTCCAGGGTTTTCTTTTTTTAAGGGCACTTGTGCTCTCGCAATGTACTACCGATGCGGTTTCAAAAAATTGCAACTATTGATAAGTAGGCAGCCAGCAACCCCCTCGACCCTCCTCCCATGCAACATGCCCACCCCACCTCCCCCCAACTCTGCACAGCTCTAGATGTTCTCGCACCCCATCCGCCCCCATTATTAAAATTGTAATTTATTTTTCTAAATCAGAATGACAGCTTGCTTTCTTTTCTATGCAGCAGGCAGTGAATCACCAAGCTTTAATTACTTTCGTAACTTCGCTGACCCTGTGAGCGTGCTGCTCTGCCAGAGAAAATGGGACCTCTAACAAAGGCCTCATAGCTACAGCCGCCTCCGGTTCATTCAGAATGCGAAAATTTATCAAACTACATATTTTATAAGATTTTGTTAACATTTCACCTCCTATCTCGTTCACACTCTCCCAGTGAACCTCTGCTTGTAGCAGTTTCTCGTCTAGAAACTCAGGAACACCGCAAACTCTACTTCTAAATCAATATATGAAGTTGTTCGTGTTGACTCAACAAGGACCTTCCAGGTCAAAATAGCCAGAGGTCAGACCATTATCAGTAGCCCTTCTATCCAGGCCAAGGCCCCAGAGGCAGGCCCACACAGCTCAGGTCCTGGAGCCACAAAGAACAGCTAAACAGAGATCAACGCCACATTTGATCAACTTACAGAGCCGTGGCCCACAGACACAAGGGTCAAACCTACTAAATCAAAGAGACCTGAGTGTCAAAATATAACCTCTGCACATTGACCATCAAGTAAAGAAGTTAATGTGTTTTACTTGTTGGTCAAACATGGATAAAACATATTTTCTACCTTCATTGCCTTTAACTTTTGTCATCAGATCCATATTGGCTGGCCACCTTATTAGAGCAGCTAATATGTTGTAATCCCTGCTATCGCTCTCACCTTCTCATTGGCACACCTCTGTTTCGGGCTGTGCCACTGTGTGTGAACCAGAGCTGCACAGGCACGGTTGGTCTTTTGCTGACTGCCTGATAATTGAATGAGCGATTATCCCTCCCATTAATAGACAATGATACAGAGAGCAGTGCCATATGTAGGGAATATTAATGAGTGGCTGCAGCGGCCTAGATAAGAGAAGCACTGTGCAGTTGCTGTAATAGGGGTTAAAACAATTTGCCCCCCACCTTCCAATCCCCCACACACATTGAATCCACTCTATGCTAATTCTCTAACCAGCCTCATACCCGGCACTAACGGCACACAGCTTCCATCAGCAGTGGGGTGGTGTTGGGCGCTGACCTCGTCACTGCCAAGGCCAACCTACTATTGTGTAAGAGCGCGAGCAGGGTCACTAGGCAACAACATGTCTATGATCATGGTAATAATAAAAATACAGTTGTTATGAAGAATAGAAACATTAGAAACAAGTACAGTTCTTAGATCAAATTGAACCAGAGCTGAAACAATTTATCTTGCTTTACACAGAGCTGTCTGCAAATTACGTAAAACTTTAATTCCTATTTCACGCATAAACCATGTTGTTTTAAAAGGATTCCTACTTTTGTCTAAAATCTCTGGCATTTGCATTTAAGGATAGTAAAAAGTAGTACGATTGCTGTAGCGGCAGATCTAACATGCAAGAATAATGCAATATATAAAATGACTTGAATTCAGGAGTTAATACCAATAGTGTTTGACTGGCCCAGTTTTATTTCTATAAGCAAAGTTTCTAGAAAGGTTGTCAAGGTCTTAAAGCCAGCCAAATATTCTTTGTCACATTTGTAATTAAATCTATCATTGATACATTTATTAATTTGTATTTAGGAAATAACAATAATGCAAGAGAATCCCAGTTCAATATCTTTGTACAAGTGAAACCCAGAAAATATTTATTTCTATAATTTACTTAAAATGTGAAACCAATATACTTATATATAAGTCATTAAATTCAAAGTGAAATAAGCCTTTGTTTGTTATTATTTTGATGATTATAGCTTACGGTCATCTAAAAATGTATATATTTTAGTTGGGTTTTTTTTACGGCTGTGAGACACAATGATCAACATTATAAAAAATAAAAGCTTGATATATTTCAATTTGCATGTTTACAGAAGTAAACAGACTTTTGTATGATATAATTTTCTGAGTTTCACCTGTATATACTGTACCGCTAAAGGTTGCAACAAATAAACCAGTATGAGGTTAGCTATAACACAGGTTTAAATCTTACTGATCTGCCAACTATCACCAAGAAAATGTATCCACACAAGACAAAGTGTAATCACGTGGCTGGTCTACGCTTTATGAACTCTTTGGTTAATTTGGAAACTTACATGAAGAAAACCCAGCCTTCGCCTTGAACCGGTCCCATCAAACGAGGGAACCCAATCTGGCCTATATTCACGCCAATCAATATCTAACATCTATTAGCATTGGGAAGCAATATTTCCCCCTTTTACCTTGCGATAATTGTGCTTAATACTGTGAAGTACCTTATCATAGGTCTGACTGCCGAAGAAAGGCCGTTTCCATGGTTACGGTGAAAGCCATTGGTTTCCTTTTCAGCAGAATAATGAACTTCTCTCCTCCGCGTGTCACTCTTCCACTCCACGCGCAGCCTCTTCGATTAAACTCAAGTCCACGCGTCCTTGAGATCCCTCATCTCTGCCGCCTTATAATTTGTCAAACAAGAGAATATGTTCCAAGTCTCAACAGATGCATCAGGGTGTGTGCGTAGATGTATTTATTTTAAAAAAAGAAACATGAAATCCATTTTTGTCCAGCATTTTCCAGCAGTAAATGGGCTCTGTAGTTACAGTTCAAAAGTGTAAAATGTTATCTATTAGAGATTTGTTTGTGCAATGATTAAGTCTCAGGAAAAGTGTTAAAATGTTAATGAAAACCCTCTCAGATGTTTAAGTATTTTGAGTAAGAAATGAATACATTCATATGTATTCAATAAAAAAACAATAACTTTTTTAGGGAACACTTATTTAAGTCTAATTGCCTGCTTATTAGCAGTATTTAGTGGTAACTTTATTGACAATTAATAATAATTCATACATTATTAAGCCTAAATTCAGCTGCTCATTAAACAAGAATAATTATTACTATAAAAAATGTTGTTCTTAGTCAATCATTATTACATTACTGCCTTTTTATTTTTTTGATGTTTCACTAATTGTCCTCATTCCACTCCCCATCACATTTACCTTGAATTATTCACTTTCACATGGTAAAGATAAGATAAGAGGGTTTTGCATCTCCAAGTTTTGAGAGTAGGTTATGAAGAATTTGACTATGAGTACAATAAAGGAGGATAATCTAAGTAAAGAATTGTATCGATTTCATTAGAAATCAACCACTACAAAAACAAAGTAGTTTCAGCCATATTAAAGCCTCTGGCTTTAACGCTTTTGTTTTACATAGAAAAAAGCTTATGATGAATTCTTGTTTTTTTACAGACATTAAAAATCAAGGCCCTGACTATATTGTATCATCCATCAGTTATTGAAAAATTAAATCATGACACTGACAATAAATATTCTTGTCCTATATAACATATTGTATTAAGGTTTGGGCAATACAATATATATAATACAAAACCAATTTTCACCCTGTAATTAGAGAAATCACATTACCAAGTCATAACAAGCCAACATATGCACTGATTACAAATCTTTAAATATTGACCTTCTGTGATTAAGTAGATCTATACACACTGAAAATCATTTTGAAAATCACATGATCTCCTGTAACCATTACAACATTTTTACACAATTAAGATCATTAAGAGATGAGAGGAACAGAATAAAGCAGGGCAAGGAAAAAAGCATTAGCTTCAGCCTACACCTTTTTGGCTCTGGAATGTGCATGTGACCAAAATGAACTTAATTCAGATTACTCATACACCGACAGACAGACATACATTACATTTAACAGCTCCATCAAGCAACTTTATGAAATAACTGTGACTGTTGCACTGAGCCAAAGCAATTTCCAAGTCTGTGACTTCCTGTTACTTACGTGGCAATAAAAAATATTCTGATTCGGATTCTGATTAAAGGCCTATCTTATTATTTTTTCTCTTTTATGTCCTACTTCACAAAAATATAGGCTATAGTTGAAGCATACCTATATTTAAGTTTTTCAGCTGGAGCCTCTGCCTGTGCCTGTGGATGGGGATGGGGATGTAGATGTGGCGTCCTTGAGCGGGCTTTGGGAAGTCTGAAACGCACAAAGCCACTATTCATTTCTCTGTCACATTCATTCAGTCATTTCAAGATTTTGAACCAATTTCTTGAACACAGACTTGAATTACATTTGTATCTTATGTTATCTTCTCACTTCTCATTAAGTAGAGTTAACGAGATCAGTTCAGAGCAACTTAGAGCAATAAATTCTTTTCAGCGCTCCGTTATAGCTCTTTTTAAAACTGTGTAGCATCATTAGTTTGATACAAATTTGTCTTTGTCATCAGAGCAAAGTTAAAATGCTTATGGGCTTGTAATAAATCTGAAAAAAATGATGTGGGTAATAAATTAGAACAACTCACTGACGAGGCCTTTTTCCAGCACGTGTTTGTCAACTTCCGCCACAGACAGGCCACAAGGGGGCGCCCGCGAGCTGCTGAAGAGGATGTTTTACACTCTCAGTGTTTGTCTTATGTGTTTGTATGTATATTAAGCAGTATATACTGCAATATTCTATATTTTACGAACAACTAGTTACGAACTTAATCATGTGGGACTAAATAAATATGTTGAGTGAATATAGTGAGCTTCATTGCAGCAGATGTGCATTTGATTTGCTGTTGCAAAGCAGGTCCGTATTTTTTAATTTTGTACATGTTTTAAATGTTGTGCGACATTACAATGAGCCAAAACAAAAAATCACCAGGTGGCTTTACAGCCAGAACCAGACTTTAATTTTATTTTTAAAACACAAACATGACTTGTACATGTTATGGAGGGTCTTGTGAACATGTTATTCCTTTGGCTATAATCTTCCACAATATGACATAATCTGTATCAGCAAATATTCATGAATATCTTTGAATTACTGGTGGTTACATTTGAATTAGAATAATCATTTATCTGCACAAAGCCTGTTTAAAATATTGCTATTGGTTAAAGTTAAGGTACACTTTATTGTCCCCGAAACATGTCATTTGCATTTGACCGATCACTCAATGTCACAGCACACAGTGTTCAGTGCAGCACTCGGGGGCCCAGATGTTGATGCTCTTGGTCAGGACTACAGGAGCTGGAGGATGGTGCATGTTCTGTGTTCACTTTGTTTAAATGTGAAAACGTATATTCTTTGTCTTACCGTATTAACAACACTTTTCAGTCCACATTTCCAACACTATAGGATTATCAGCATCAGTAACATTTCATAGTAGTCCCACAGGCAAAGGGGAAAGAGGAAATCACTTGAGTGTGACGGGGAAAAGGCTCTATCCTGATGAACACAAAAAACAGCTGTGAGATAACAAAAACAGCTGGACTGCAGCTTCAGGCCCATACAAAATGTTATAGTAGAAGCAGGAAGCATTGAATAATGTTGGCTTATAGATTTACACCATTCTCATAACGCACAATCTTTCTCACATTAAATTATAGATTTAAATGAGGTCTCACATCTGGGTTGATACCGGGTTATTAATAATATAAAAACACTAACTACTAGTCTACAGTTGTTTCCCTTATAACCATTGTTCATAAATTCTATAAAATGTTGATGAGACCAGTATTAACATGAACATTAAAAACTGTGTCAAACAGTATTAAAATAACCAGATGAAGTTTTTGCCCTTAGTGGAGACACACACACACACAGACCCAACTTCAAGGGGTCCCATTGATTGTCCCATTGATCTAAAAATATATCTAATATATGTTTATTTTAAAATGGAAAAGGTATGGCTCCTTTAACTATTTTGGTTGAAATAAAAACCGGTACATCTTATTCTCTCGCTCCTATTGGGGTGTGAAGTCATCCAAAAAAAGTGCAAAAGTTCAGTGCAAATTTGTTAGAAAAATAATACATGATATAAGTAGTTCTCTCTAGCTCATCGCCGTCACCACCTCTTTAATAGTTATATTCTGTGAGTCCAGACCAATGTTATTGTTGGGATGTGTTTGACTCCGCTGTTGGACCAGGCTGTTCATGGGTCGCCTTTTTCCCGTCAGAACGGACAAAAGCTTGGAGCGGTAATGGTCTCCTGCCAGAAAATATAGAATGGGATCTATGCAGCTGTTGACACTGGCCAGCGGTCTGGTGATTTTGTACGTGAAGTTGACCACGTTGAGGAATTCACAGTTGGCATCGAGCACGCGGGAAGTGTAGTATATTGTTCTTGTGACGTGAAAGGGAACAAAGCTGATCGCAAACACCACCAGCACGATTATGATCAGCTTAATAGACTTCTGACGAGAGGCATTCCCTTGCTGACTGGCAGATAATCCCACTCTGGGTCTGCACAGTGACCTGGCCATGAGGCAATAGCACACCACAATGACAGTGAATGGGACCCCAAACAGCAGCACCATGACCACAGAGCTATAGTCCACATACTCGTTGAAAGCATCCTGGCTGGTCGTGTCGTGACAAAGCGTGTCATTGTCCCTCCTGGAGGTAGTAACAAAAATCAGATTTGGCACAAGGCACACAGTGACCACAGCCCACACCAACCCACACACCAAATGGGCATGGCGAGGCTTTACCAGGGTCATAGCTTTAATGGGATGACAAATACCCAGGTAGCGGTGCACACTGATGCACGTGAGGAGGAGGATGCTGCAGTATAAGTTTGCGTAGAAAAGGAAACGCACGATTTTGCACGCGGCGACGCCAAACGGCCAGTGGCTGCGGTTGGCGTAGTAGTAGATGAGCGTGGGAAGGGAGATGACATAGAGGAAGTCGGAGAGAGCCAGGTGGAACATGAAGACGGTGCTGGGGTTCCACGGACGCATCTTCAGAAACATCCACAGGGCGGCTGCATTCAGCACAAATCCGACCACAAGCACCAGGCTGTAGGAGACGGGCAGGAGGATGTATTTGAACTCCTCGTCGAAGCGGCAGCTGGAGTTGAAGACGGGGAGCGCTGAGAGATTGTGGCCGTGAGTGCGGGTGATCACCGGTTCCATTCTAACAGCGAGATCTAAACACAAAATAAATAATGGAAGTTACTCAGATTACACATATATCATAAACATGCAGTTCGTCATTGTGACAGCAGTAGCGGGAGCTGGAATTCTCTCTGCTGTGTGGACTTTATTCTGTAGCCTGCTTGCACTGAGGAAATCAATGCATCAAAGCTCATGTGATAGTGTTGCAAGAAAACAGTCTGACTCATGCACTCTTGTCTCTCTTTGGGTTGTCCTGCAGGGTCGTTAGGTCTATATCCTGGCTGTCCAAAATTGTAATTCAATCATGGGAAGTTTATTGCGTGAATTCAACTGATTTTGAAGAGAGAAGGAATCAAAGTAGGTCTTATTTATATCCTACCACTGTAGTAGTTCGCACATCCAGCCAGATTTCTTTTACTTTTTTGGTCACATTTTGGAGATAATGATAATGCCAACAACTTTTTTAACTCATTGTCAATATGTTTGTGTGAAGCCATTCATTGTCAAATACATGTGTTTTCTTCTTTTTCAACAATAACAACAACAGAACTCATATTACTCTAATTGGAAGTTCATATCCCCTAGTTTTCAGTATCACCCTTTTTACATCTATGTCAGCTTGGAGTTTGTTAGGTGAGATTCTTTACCCTCTCTGTATAGTAGAGCTGCTTGTTTTTAATGGCAAAAATACATTTCTGGGCTGCCTTGCATGAACAGCTCATTTGAAATCTCCCAAAAGCAAGTCAATATTATTATTTAATTCAAAAATCGAAAGCACGTTTGTAAAAGTGCTTGTGTTATCAAAAAATATGTAATCAAATAAACTTTCACAACTGTCCAGATTCCAGCAAGACATTACAAGGGTAGCAAAAACAATCCTGGTCTACGCCACTTACAACACATGCAAGGAAAGCAGCACATAGCGATATATGGCTCTGCGCTTTAAGACTATCAGGCATAAAGATTGAGGCGAAGATTAGAGCGGACTTACGGTTTCTTTGTCCTGCAGGAGGGAGCGCTGGTGGAGAACTTTCAGGACTGAAACAGATAAGATTTGTTCAACTCTGAATCCAGCGCCGCGTCAAAGCATCGCGCAAAATCCATGTTTGTGCCATAGGTCTGCGCGGCTATTAGACGTAGGCGACTTTCTATGTGTGTAATAGGAAACCGCACTGCTGAGTCGACGTGCGCGCTCTGAATGGACGCGCACAGGAGGGAACCACGTGAAAGTTATAAAGCAGTTCTTAAAAAGTCTGCGGCCAAATCTCTTTTTCACAACGAATCATAATATCTCTATGTATCTTTATGAATCTGGCGTTAACAAACAATCTTCTCACATAAAACCATGTGTCATCACTGGACACATTAACTTTGCTGTCCCAGTTGAACGCTAAATGGATGTGCTTGTGTGCAACTTAGTCATAAAAGTACATATTATAAAAAGCTTTACCGTGGACTTTACCATAAACGAATAATATCATTTAATAAGTTACCAATGGGTTGAAGCCTTCATGATTGGATTGGTCGTACATGCTCTATGTACTGTGGTAACGCAATTTTCTTCAGGTAATGATCTAGTCACTATTCTATTTGAGGATTTTTGTGGTTTGTTAAATAAAGTAAAGAACGTAGGCTATGCATCTCGACGCCCAAATGTGCCGTGATGCTGGCGGTATGAGCACAGTGATTGGGAGGAGTTTAATCAGGAATGTTAGGGATCACAGCCAGCTCATGTTTACTTTAGACATTGTAAACCCTAAATGTGCAAATGTGGTTTTAGTTTAACGTGTTTTCCTCCATTTCAATTCAGTAATGCGTTAATATTAACAGTAGTAAGTAGTAGTGGCATGGCAGTGATACAGCCGTTTGTTTGAACATCTCAATAATGAGTAACCAGAGCTGAAAGTGAAATCTCTGAACCTGTCTATACTATCTCACCATCGCCAATAGGTTGTCATCATTGTCATGTATAACTATAATGAATATCAACAGGTGTCAATTGCAAAAGAAACACACACAACAGGTTATGATATATAAAACATGTACACTATGGCCATTTTCATCCATGAAGCATTTTTATTCCCATTCAGGCTGACTTGCCCTGCTTAGTGACGGTCAAGAGTTGCTCTAAGCACTTAGGCTGAAAAGGTAGCATAAAACATGCAGAGTGAACATTCATCTGTGCCATCAATGACATGGTAAACAACATGAACTAAAGCAGCACTTTAGAACAGATATGTATAGCAAGACTTTATGGTATCCAGAAGGAACCAGGTGCTTTTAAAGAATCAGGCTCGAAGAACACACACTGTTGAAACACTACTACAGCCATTGCTCAGGACAAAAAATGTATATTACAAATATTTTCAGATCCTATTAGAAGGAAATAAATGTATACATGTTAAATGCATCAAAATTATACAGAATGTACATGTGATTCCGGAGGAAGGGCATCATGAAGTAAAGGGCATGATGAAGCCATATTCATTTAGCACATCTTCCTGATTCAATTATGTTCAAATAGATTTTCCAGTTACATTACATTAAAACGTTGCATCCTTTCTCAGTTCCAGTTTTTGGGAAGGTTTTCAAGGATCTTGCGGCGATGAGCAGGATTCAGAACTCCAGCGGCTCGGAGATCTGCCTCTGTGATACCACTGCGGAATACATCACCATGTCATTGTCACTCATATCACCAACGCCAAGGAGGTCATGTTTTCATCTGAGTTTGTTTGTCTGTCTGCTAGTGAGTTAGCAACATTACTCATGAATGTTACGGACAGGTTTTAATGACACCTTAATAAATCACTGGAGTGGGACAATAGTCATTTAGTGAGAACAAAATCATGTGTTTTTACAGTGTATTTTAACACCCTGTTCCCTCTGTGCTTCAGGATCTGATGAAGGGCTGTTGAATTGCTTTTTGGATGCAGCTTTGATCTCTGGGTTATGTTTCTCCCCATATGTTTCCTCTGGGCATCTGTGTGAGTGAAGGATTGGTGGTGCCAGGGGTCAGTGGCGGACACTGGCAGCCTTGCTTCTTTTGTACTGCCCCAGGGTAGGGCTTGTAAAATAATGTAAAATAAATGTAAGTTAAGGGCAATATAATTAAAAAAGCAAATGGTGTATTGTATGAATGCAAGATAAAAGATTTTTTGTTTTTAATCTAAATGGTTGTAAAAAGAAACAACTTCTATTAGAAGTGATTGCATAGTTTGTAGCTTACAGTAAAAATAAATAAAAACAAAGATCTAGACTTTTAGCAATAGCTGAAATAAATTCATCAGACACCAATAATGTGGCAGTACGAGTGCGGGTTTCTGAGGAACAGGTGAGTCAGGAGGATATGCAACATGACTCTAACTTCTCCCCCTCATGTGTCCTTGCCAATCACTGTGATGTGTTAAATATACAATACACAATTAAAATAGTGATTCTATCAAATGCTGTCCACAAAACTAAGCTCACCAAATTTCAGTGAGCTCTTCTTCATTGCTGAGACTATCCATCTCACTTAACAGGTGAGATAAACAGTGGTGATAAACTGCTATTGTAGCCACAGCAGTCCTGGGGCAAAATGTGAGGCAACCAGTATGTGCCATCGGCCAGTCCGACCACCACCAACCATTCACACACACACCAGACTCATTCTAGGCAATATGGGTGAAGAGTCTTGCCTAAGGACACAACAGCAGTTTAACACTTTACAGCCGTAGCCACCCCACTGAGGCACCTGGTCCTGCCAGAGGGTAAGTGTCTTGCCCAAGGACACAGCGACAGTAGATATCAGTGGGAGTCGAGTGTACCAACTCATGCTGGATGTGGAGAAAGTCTAGTGGCGGGCTTATACCCACGACCTTCAGGCTCACAGGCCAATGCTCTACCAACTGAGCCACTGTCGCCTACAATACAATACAATACAATACAATTTATTCTTGTATAGCCCTAGGTCACAACAGAAGTCATCTCAGAGGACTTTACAAAACCATTGAAATCACCAACACAGGTCAGAGAATCAACAGTTAAAACACATGAAGAATATAAAGCACACACAGAAGAAAATGTCCATACATGTTGTAGAATGCTAAAGTGTCCTGATCATCACCAATCCTTTCTGTTGGACACTAACTGTCCAACAAGACCCTCCTGCATCGACAAGGAAAAACTCTTAAAAAACCCAGTGGGAAAACGTGAGAAACCTACAACCCCCCTCATTTCAGCATGATAAGGCACAACCCCATTTTCCCAGGATTTGATAATCCTGGGAGAATGTATGAATTGCTCTTGATCGCTGCATACAACAATGTGTTCCGGTTCCTCCCCATATCCAGCAACTTCGTTATTTAAGTGGACCAACATTCCACAGGCCACAATCAACAACTGATTGAGACAGATTTGGGTCACACCAGATATTGACTGCTTTTTAAAGCAAAACTAAACATCTGAGAGTGTGGTCATGGCACATGTACAGTATTCATACAGTCTAACCAGCATCTTGATATGTCGCACCTGAGAGGTTTGTCTCAGGGTAAAACAAGTGCAAACTTAACACATTTTGATAGATTTGTGAACCATATTTTATAGAAATCGTTCTATTGAGCATACACATGTATAGATTCAAGTCGAACCTCCGATAAAAAGGAGCAAAAATATGTTTTGTGTAGGTGTAAATATATTCCAAGAACTTATTTTGTTACGACCATAAACATGAATATATTTTAATGGCATATTATGTGAAAGACCACCACGAGATGATAGACAATTGTAAAGTGGAAGCAAAAATGTTGTTAAAACAAATAAAAACTGAGAAGTGTGGGATGCAAAAGTATTCATCCCAACCTATTGTCTTCAGAAATAGCTTTATGACTGGTCAAATGTTGACAAGTCCAGCAGAGTGTGATTACAGCTGTTCGCTGCCTCTTCAGTCCCCACAGGTTTAAAAAGAGAATATTGGTCACTTGTGGCATTGCCTGCATGTGAAAATCTAATCATGATTCAAACTTCGAGAAATATCTCAGAAGACTTGAATCTTTATTTGGAGTAGAGGGGGTTCCACAAAATATTTATTATTGGGGGTTGAATATAACTACATGCAACACTTTTAGATCTCTGTGTGAACCTAGTATATTCCTGTTTATAACTTCAACAAGATAAAATGTGGAAATGTTTAAGGCTTATGTAAGGTTTTGACAATCTATCCCAGAATGAATTAGACTGTTGGTGTATTCAGAGTGAACCACTTGTAACAGGACCTCACCAACATAAGAGCTGAACAAAGTAAGAAATGTTATGTTTTACCAGAAGTAATCCAAGTCATTCCACCCACAGAGACAAAGGCCATAGTGGTATTTTTGAAGACCCATAGTAGACAGAAGTTCCTCGACAGTTTCAGGCACAGCATGTCCAACAGAGACCTGAAATACAGATTTTTAAAAACATTTATCACATACTCAAACTAATGCGCACTGTTACTAGAGTAGAGACTTTCTTACCTCTTTAACCCAGCTATATTTTCTGTCTACTGTCACTTCAGGACCATTTTTATATTTTGGCCTTGGTTGTGTGGAAGGACTTTTTTGTTTTGTAGGAAAGAAATCAACCTCTGAGAGAGACTTGGCTATCTGTAAAGCAGTCAAAGAATTGTCCCCTGTGAGTCCAGGCGTCTGATGCTCCACCAGCCAGGGCACTGAAGCTTGAGAACGCACCACTTTGGCTGGAGCGTAAGGACACGGTGCAGGAGGCCTGACTGAACGAACAAGACTGGGTCGCTCTGGTCGATTAACACCTTTGTCTTTAATGATCACCAAGTGGTTCATATATAGGTTTTTGAGATTCTTCTCCGGAAGAACAGAGTCCTGGACAGCGATCTGAATGTCTTTCTCTTTGGTTGGTGCGGTCTGTTCCTGATATTTTGAAATACTTGAGGGAGGGGAAATAGAGAGGGGTTTTTTGGCTGGGAAAAGCTGATAAGAAGAGACTGTTTGGGGTGTGTGAAGGTCATCTGCCTGTGCATATTGTGGCAACAAGGCTGGAATTTCAATCTCTGTAAAGTCAGCTCTACGGCTGGGCCTTCGGTCAAAGTCTGGACGTCCTGAGACCTTGGGAAGCAGCAGCGCCTCATTTCCAGACCAGATCACAGGATTGTCTCTGCGCTGAGGTGAAGACGGCTGTCGAGGTGTCACTGAGACCCTTTCAAAGATGAAGTATGCAGGATTGGTGTAGCTACTTAGAGACAACATAAAGTACAGGTATAAGACAAAGCTGTCAAGTAAGACTTTCTTAAAGTTTGACACTGTTTATCTAACTGAAAATCTGAAAATGTAATTACCTGTTCATCGGAATCCGGGTTTGAGTAGGAGAAGGATGTCCTCTGACTGAGGGTTTTCCATCATTATCCAAGCAGAATTCTGAAAAATTGCATTGTCAATTAATTAAATTTTGGTTTGCAGAGCATGTAAAGAGAAAAATTTATTGGATTATTTTTTAAATCCAAACCTGGTCACATATAATGCAAAGTGTTTTCTGTATCAGGATGTGGAGCCAAAGGAGGAAGCCGGAGATAGAAAGCAGTGAAAAAGCCAGTGATAATTTAGAAACCAAATAGAGGAAGACAATGAAGCCATCAGAGGTTTGTGAGGACAAAACAGAAAACAGCAGTCCTGTATCACTAACCATAGACTTTAGCTCTGGTTTGTCTTCTGTCTTTCGGGACATGAACTCTGACCCGTCCTCGTATGGAGCCCATCTCTTCCCCACGGTGGCTCAGGAATGTCTCAAACTGCTCTGAGGCTCCGATTAGTGAGCACAGAGCCACACAGCATTCACCTGGCAGATAAATAAGTGTTAATATATAAAGTATTTCTGTTGGACAGGGCAATGTCAGAAAATGTATATACTTTTTACCCCATCAGATTTATCCAAGTATAACCAGAGAAACCTCTGACGGGTATTGTATTGTGGAGATGTGTTAATATAAAAGAGAGGTGTCCTTGCGCATTCTTACCATATGATTCAAAGCCATCACAGGACTTCACAGAAAGCAGAAGGTGTTGATCTTGAAGATACTCCAAGTCAGAGAAAATAGGAAAGAGCTACAAGAGAGGAAAAACAATGAAACATTAGGTTTTGAAAGAATTATCTAAAGGGATTATGTACCTTTGGCAACTGCTTGAAAGACCAGCCAAGCTTCAGAAACCCAGAGACATCACAGCTCTGAGAATCATTTTCCTGGGAACGACACATCTCTGAACATTCAAAGATATACCGTTTTAAAAGTCTTGAATTTCACAACATGAAAATGTGTACACTGCAATACGTTACCTTGAAGACAGGGTGAATAATATTCAATAAAGAATTTTGCTTTGCTAGATGTTTTTACAATGACTTCAACAACTTCAAGTTCAATCCACGCTTTCTCCATACTTGTCCTTTTATCTGTTATACACCCATATAAGTTAGCTTAAATACCCACACACATCCGTATATTTTTTTGTTAAACGAAGCAAACACAGCACCTGTTCTGGGGACAAAATGTGGCGTCACGCCAACTTGGAAAGTGGCAAAAACAGGAGAGTGGTCACTTGTAAAGATGTCGTCAGTGCAACCTGCCATGAAAAATACATAGGTCTCCATTATTAGGTCTGGCCAGCCACAAGCGGGTGAAGGGCCCTGGTGTGTTCTTGTATAGCCAAACGCCAATGTATGTGTGTAGCCATCAGTGGTACATACGTGAGACACACAAGAGCCTTTGTATCTTATATTGAATATATTATATTAATGTATACAATTCTAGAGTCAGAAATTCAACTCAGAAACCCGTACTCTCCAGTTCCTGATTTTGCATTACAAAGAGAAGTATCCACAGTAGATTTTTTTCTTTTAATTGAAAAACAAAATCCTGTTTTGTTGCCCTGATCAATAAAGTAAACAGGACTTATTCTTATTGTGAAAACACAAAACCACCAATCTAATAATAAACCTGTTTTATATGAGCTTTTTTGTATGTCATTATTCATTCACTCCATACACAGTGGAGATGAACTACTATGTCCATGGGGCAAACTAGCAGAAGTGAGGCAACCAGTATGTGCCTCTCTGACCACCACCAACCATTCACATAGACCAGATTCATGGTGTGGACACTACGTCAGCTTGGCACATTACTGCCGCACTGTGGCACCTGACTTTTTCAGAGGTTTCCCATCACAGTATAAACCAGGTCCCGCCCTGCTTAGCGTCAGAGGTCCGACAGGATCTTGTTGACGTCATCAAATTAATTTCTCAATGAACAGTTTATATAAATAAAAACGTGTTCATTTGTAAGGCTCATGATCCAAAATATAGTGTAAATATTATGGTCTTTGTGTTGCGATCTTGTAATACCCCATAAGTGTGGCACAACGATATAGGGCCCCCTTCTCTATGGTCGGTGCTGTTTGACCGAAGGCGGGGCCGTTTATTTCCACTTTTATAACGTATAAAATCTTACCATATGCCGTGCAAATGATGTGCGTTTTTGGATAAGACTTCCATAAAATCCTGTCACACCAAGAAGGCACATTTACGCGCACCTACAACAACAACAAATTATAACTTAATAAATTAAATCATTTTTCACCAAAAACCTATTGTGTTCTAGTTTGCACTATTGCACCGAGCAAGAATGACAATAAGGCTGCTATTTCAGCAACTGCTCTCAAAGGCAAGCATGCCGCAACCAGATCTCTCAGGAACGACTAGAATTACTCATGAACATATATTTAGCATGTGAACTGTGTTTGAGAGGTTCTATTTTTAATGTTCACCTCAAGGTGTTTTTAAGAGACAAAGGTTGTCAACAATTCATTTTGTTGACAGACTGTTTATAGCCAACTTCTCTCATGTATTTATTACCAAGTCATTGAATAGATAAAGTAATTAAAAACAATCTGGATTTTTTTAAAACTCAATTTAACACATACACTCTTTATTCCAAATTTAGAATAAAGAGTCGTCAAATATAACATGGTCAAATATTTACCCCAGAAGTCTTGTATTTTTGCCACAGATAACAGTTTCTGGAGCCTCTTTCATAACGATATGTTGGTGGAAAAAGAATTGTTTCTTCCTCTTAAAAAACAAGAACCAAAAGTATGAAAACATCTGTGTCCTATAAGAAAAAATGGAGATAAATGAAGTGAAACTCACTAAAATGTAGGAAACACTTTCTCTTGTGTCTTTCTCTGGTCAGCTGGTCAGCGCACATGAGCTCTGCAAATTCTCTCTTGGAAACATGTTTTAGAATATCCTATGATGGATATCCATAGTCAATGTCATTGCATTGTTCATTGCTTTTGATTTAGACTTTACCTGCACATCCAAGTCCAACCTGTAGTTTAGGTCTCCACACCAGAATAAGTGAGTAAATCGAAGGCTGATGTCAAACGGACCAATCTTGTCCCCAAGGGAAAGCAGTCTCAGGATATCCAAAAAATTCTGGTTTCTTCTAAATTTACCAATGTATATAGAGAACAGATACATATATCAGACAAAACACAATGCAATGAGGAATTAGCTGTATAGTATTTACCTATGAACTTTATCACTTCCAGAATTCATGTGGCAGTTAACAAAACCAAAAGATGTCCCATTAAAATAAAAAGACACCCCGACAGCTCCTTTATTTCCTGGTATAAACATATAAATAAATAAAATGATTTGATTTAAATTATAAACTGTTGTGTCTTACCCAAAGTATTGCCTAGTCCGGTTTTGACGCTGGCAGTACCCACGCGACTGATGCGACTCTGAAGTTCGGGTTTCACAAACACAGCCAGTCTCATATTCCAAAGGGACTGCACTGCCACCTACAGGACATGATGCTCTATTACAGTCGTGAAAAGAGAATAGTGCTCACAGAAATTCACTTTAATAATTGTTTACATGAACTCAAAACTCGAATGTAACCCAAAAAACACTACGTTTTAACGTTATTTTTTTAATATGTAGTTCTCAAATATAGAGTTGAAAATGTATGTAGGAAATGTATACCTTAATTGTATGTTATGTCTTGTTGTTTATCACAAAGTACGGATTTTTTTTGTTTAATAATTAATTTATTAAACTTTGGACTTATAATAGACTAAAAACAAAAGACAAATGGGAGGTGGAATTTACCAGCTTAAAGTCAATGTGAGTGAAGCTGCGAAGAGTGGCTTTGCAGTTTTCCACCCATTCTCTTTCGCCCTGTGGATTTTCTTGAGTTCCCACAGCATATATGTCATGGGGGAGAAGGCCAATGGACTCATCAGGTGTGTGACCCATGCCACAACAAGTAAACCATGACTGCAGGCTTACTGGCGAAGGGGATCCACCTGTACATAGAACAATCTGTACCATCACAGTCCTTGGCACTTAAAAAAGTGTATATATTTTCTGTTACCCATATTCCATGTGCCAATAAATACAGAGATCAGGTCAGTTTCAACCATCCCAGAGTGCCGTATCTTCATCAGCTGGAGGAGATGACAGAATGCATTGCGTTTCTGTAGAGAAAGCCCAAAGGTCATTATTTGATTATTCCCACAGATTAGAATTTGATTGCATAGTCATACCCTAGGACTTTCAAAGATCATCTCTCTTGGCGTGTTGTGCAGTTTGTCAACTACAATCTGTACCTTGGTTGAACTGCTTTGAAATTTGACAATGTGAAGAACTAATTGGGAAAATTGCACTATTAAACTTATACACTGTGAGTATGTGAACGATGTGGTAAACAGGAAGAATCGAGAAATGCACTTACTTCTATCGTGAGAAACCTTTTCGACACTAAATGAGTCAGATTTCCTGTCAAACAGAAGTACCCCTGAGTCCACATCAACAGAAACAATCTGCCGACCATAGCGTACAATCTTCACCTGAACAAAAAAATGAACCTATTAAGAAGAAGTTTAGATAAACCAACTGTGGCCTAAGTGTGTCCAGATTACATCCTGTTACCGAGAAGGAGTGGATGGACATGTGTTTCGCAGGATTCTTGACAGGTGATGTACATGCCGTATTGATGGTTGTTGATTCAGGGGTTGGTTTCGTCTGCACTGCTAAATTGTGATTTGTCACTGCCTCTTGCAGCGCTTTTAACACCTTTAAAATGAAAAATAGAACATGTCAAGTCCACAAGCTCAGACAAGTTCAACTTAAGTCATTAATTTCTATTACAAAAGTATATATACCTTTTTCTCTAGAGATGACAGAAGGCTAACTAAGGCTGAAATCTTGAACATTAGACTTTCTATCTCCATGTCTGGACCCTTTTAACAAAATTAAATTCCTCGATTATTTATTATTATTTTTATCATTATACAGTATATAATAATTAACACCAATAGATTTTCTATGGCCTTAGTGTTTCTATACGAAAGTGTCTTACCTGACTCTTGTGTGTCAAAGAACAGTTGCCATTGTCAAAGACTTTGACCAAGGTTTCCAAACTGGAGAGGGTAAGGTCAATTTCACTGTATATAAAAAAATAAATTTTATATTGTTTTGATGTCATATTACAATTTCATCTTTAGTTTTCCAGTACAAACTTGTTCAGGCCCTGGCACGCTGTTCCCAGAGTACGTCTGAGGTGAATAAGACTTGTGAATCCTTTGTTTACATTCTCAATGTCAAAGGAAAGCTCACTATAGAGGTAGTCATGAAGCAAAGAGATCATGCCACTTGCAGTACTGTAAAGCACAGACAGAAAATTAGCATCAAACTTTAGGTCACACAAATGGGTGAAAGTGAACTTTCATGGTTCTTTATTTTGATACCTAGATGTTTGCAACTCCAGTAATTTTTCCACAAATAATGCGGGAGGACCAGGATTTACTTGTGGCGGTTTTGCCACTGCAGCCACTGGAAGCATCACCTGAGGAGGTCTCTCTTCATCTGCACATCCAAAAGAAATAACAACATTTCATTTACATCGGGCCAATAAAATGCATTTTGTTTTATTTGTATAGTAACTTTTACTAAGTTATACCAGAACTCTCATCCCCAGAGTCTTCGTTCCGAAGGACCGGGTACAAGAGTGGAGAAACTAGGCCTTTGTGTGGATACTGATATCCCAACACAAGATCTGTCAAAGTCCGAAAGCAGTTCACCTGCACTCCCTGTGTTGTCTGTGCACCAAAAACATAAAACAAAAGTTGGTGTTGTGTCCTCTGTGTCAACATGCAGTTCATGAACCTTTACCAGTTTGTAATTGTTATATCTTCAAACAGACACAATAGACAATATAAACAATTGCATAACTCCATAACTTCACTGTCAGGGGTAGGACAAGGACTTTGTCTGTTCAGAAGGACAGTTTAGTATTTTTGTAGAATCTATGATCAAAATATCTAATAAGAGATTATATCACAATATGAAAGACAATGTAGACATCTCAATCCTTGAGCTATGTCAGGGATTTCAATCTAGTTTTGATTAGGAGCAAAAAGTCAGTGGCCAACAGCGTGGGTTAAAGACGGAATTTTTGAAACAAAACCCTTATTCTCTGTACTGCTGAGCTCATGCACAAAGCATGCAGCCACATGGTAAAGTTGTCACTCAAGCACCAAGGCCAATGTAACACATTTAAAGGCTAAAACATTTTTCAAAAAATTATAACATCGTAAAAAAGCAATCTCATCTTGATGAACTGACAATACAGTCTTACCTACACAAAATTGTTCTGTTTTAACCAAAAAGCGATCGACTCACCTGCACTGCCAGGTGGCCATCTGCATCTGGAAGAATGCGATATGTGTGAACATGCCGCTGGAACCTATTAAAGAAAAATAATCTAGTTAAAAAATCAGAATTAAGTTAATTTAATATATTATATAGAATAATTTAATATAGCAACTTAAGCTTGTAGTACAGTGGATGGCAAAAATGCCATTACAACACGTTTTAGCCTTGGCCTTTAGACGTTTCCTGTTGACTGGTGAATGTATAAACCTAAACTAGTCCACATGAGTATAATCTATCAGCTGTTCTGTAATGCCTCAGAGGTTTTGGACACTGAATCAGCAGTAAGTTCATGCCAGAGATGAAATTGTGGAAAAGTTTAAAACATTGTTATTTCTCAAGCTTTGAACATCTCATCTATCCGGCAATGGAAATAGTATGGGACAACTGCATATCTACTATCTAACATGACTTTCTGCCCTAAATCACAGCCAAGGTTGAAATAAAGCTACAAGCAGCCAATCCAACATGTGTAAGACAAACTGCTGAACCTTTGTAAAGAACCTGAATACTTGTGGTTGTTGGTGTTTGCTTTGAGTATCCCGGCAAATATACAAAAAATAAAAGATTTTTTTTTTTTTTTTAAAGAGCAAGATTTAAGATTGGTGAAGAATGATATAAAAGGTCAGCACATTCTGCCAGGCCCAGCTTTCAGGAAAGTATGTGGTTCGGCTCGATGTACAGGCAGACTGGTGCGGTCGCCAAGGCTACTGCCCGATTTTATGCATCTCAGGAAACACAGAGGGGCTTCAGGGGAGTCCTGACTGAGTCCTGAGTCCAGACTGAGTCATCAGGGACGTTCTCCTCTTGAAGAAATGTCTGTGGTGATGATTTATTATTAGTAAATGGTTGTATTCAAATACAAGTACAGTTTTGATTGGTAATATAAAATAATAATGAACTGTTTTATATAACAATTTTTTGGACACTCAAAGCTTCACATGGAATCATTTATTCAATCCATACACAGTGGTGGTAAACTATTATAGCCCCAGCTGCCCTGGAGAACAGTGACAGAAGAGAGGAAACTAAATTGTGGCTACGGCCCCTACGATCACCTGCAATCATGTCCTCATATCAAACTCTTCTGCAATGCAGATGACATGGATGTCACGCTACAACTGTTTAGCACTTAATCACTGCAGCCGTTTCACTGTGGCACCTGCTATTACCCAAGGTCTCACATCACAGTTCTAACCAGGTCTGCCCTGCTTAGCATCTGAGATATGCATAATATTAATCATAATGGTATTTATGGAATTTTTGTTTTACCAGGATAGCCCCTTTAAGGGGAGTCTCCAGAAAAAGAAGTAGATCATGTTTTTAGCAGAAACTAGAGCACCCGGAGGAAACTTCATGAAAACTGCACTCAGAAACGCAAATGTTGCCTGAGGGTTGAACTCAGGACCTTGAGTTTACAAAACAATGAAACATGCAGAAGAATATGTGTGGAACTCGATCATGCACTCACTGTAATTGACTTAATTGAATAAAAATGTGTCATACTCACAGGAGACACAGGGCATACGCTCCAGATACAGACTCACTATCTCTCACAAGGTAGCTGCCATCCCTTCCAGCCCTGGCCAGTAAGTCCTCTGCATGCACCCGGCTGATGTCCCTGTGATACCATGCCACTGTGGCCATGGTGATCTGTGCAGACTGGTGTTATAATAGTACTCCAAATGAAGAAGGCTCCACATAACATGAGCTGTTATGTTTGATTTTAAACTGAATCCTTATTCTTTCAACCTCGACTCAAATAGAGCAGGTGACCGAGGTTCCCTTCATGATAATTCTGTCCTGATGCACATGGTACAGCAGGACTTCATTAACTTCTATTTGTTTCTTCTGAGTCACACATATTTTAAATGAAAGAAGAAGCCTCAGACTGGATCTCTTCACTTGTCTACAATGAGGCCAGTCGTTGCAGATTGTGGGATAATAACTTTCCTCCTGGATAATAACTCCCTCTGAGCCTCTGTAGTCAGGTCAAGGAGGTATGAGAGCAGAGCAGTTCAACCACTACACGAGCCGTCCTCTTGACCTGGTGTAAAAGAGTTCGAAGACAGTAGATAAATACATGAATTAAAGTAAGTAAAAACAAATTCACAAGTATAAGGAAACAACATACCTCAGCTGTTTCACAGTTAGCATTAAAACCAAACAGGCTTGTATTCAAAACCAGACCTATTGAAATCATTTCCCAGCTATACTGCCTTATAAGGAAAAAGAAACACCCATGAAAAAGTTCTTCTGAAGCCTACAGTTTAGGTCTACGGATTTCTTCAGCCGCTTATCCGGAATGATATGGGTCACTCGAATCCAAAAGCAGACGCGAGTGGAAGGGATTTGTCACTCTATGAGGGAGTATTGTCAAAACGTGCCGTGGTGTCCAGTGGTCCTGCGGATAGCTGTCAGAGCAGAGGGAGGGTGTCGAAGGGAGAGGGCAGTACCGTTAGAGTGTGCAGACAAAGGAAGTGACTGCGCATTCCAGATGGTGGACTTAACCAGGAGAAGAATTCTTGTGAGGGGCTCAACTTTAGAACCGCTGTGTGAAACTTCCCGTCTGCCTCTCTCTCTCTCACCTTTTCTTCCTTTCCTTTCTATTCATAGTCTCATGCACAATATGCACACACTAAAGTGACCTCATCCAACGTTTTTCCAACACATGGTTACAAGAAAGTCCAACTTAAGCATCCCAAGTTTTCCCATTCTGGTTGTATTGACTTCATTGCAAACACTATGACCCTTATGTACATATTTTCTGTAGTGCCTCTATCTACTCAGCAGAATTCAGTTGACCACATTAACCACAACCATCGTTCAACAAATACACCCAATACCCTCCCTATATCTCAGGCGACGTAATTTAACCCTGTATTGTAATAAAACATATAAACATACTTCTACCTTATCTCATACGCCTGTGGCAGCATCTCTAATGCACAAGAAGTACACTATACAATATAAACACAAACAATATTTATAAAAAGTATTTTTCTGATAATTTGTCCTTTAATAAGAGAATGGAGTTTTTCCTCTAGTTTGCTTATTAACACAAACTAAATTAGCTTGATAACTCCCTGCACAAGTGGCCCTGATCCTCAGCAGCACACATAGACTTATTTTGAGAGACGTCTGTTTGTTGCTAATTTGTCATTATTTATAGAAGAACCTGCTTTAAATGGCAACAGCTTAAGGATAAGTAGATTATGTCACTGATTCTAACTCCCAACAGCAAAACAAGAAAAGCATCGAAAGGGAAAGCCCGGGGTGCATTTACCATTCTTTGTTTTTACCATAATTACATGTATTGTTTTGTTTCACCAATCACAGACTTCCAACTTTTATGATAAAATGTACATATTTTTTTGTCAGTAAACATGTAATCAGAGAGAATTTTCACCATCAGTGTGTAGAAAAATTGTGTAATCGATCATCAATAATACTACTCTTTTATGACAGCATGAACACACACACTTTTATGTGTTGTCCAGAGTACTCCCTGGCCAGTTTAGATCAGGCATTAAAAAGCTTAATTCCTCGAGTGCAAACACCCGGATCATGATCCGGGCCGGGAGAGGTCAACCTCCTAATCCCTGTTCACACGAAGGAGGATCTTTTTCATTGTTTGATGCCTGCTAAGGTGTGAAGATCTTCCGTAAAACCCCTCATCCATGACTTGTTTAGTTAACCAATTAAACATGGTTGGCTGAGTGTGCCTAACTGATTGGCTTTAGTGAGGCTTGAAAAGTTCAGAACTATGTTATACAATAATTTAGTCTGGATGCCAGCTTTTTGCTACTGCTTTGAAAGTCTCATTTACTGTAGGTACTGTTGTGTGTGATAAGGAGTGTGTTCTAAAAAGGGTCATGAGTACAGATTAGACCAGGCTTGAAAAACCATCTGTCACCATAGCTACCATAACAGCCACCAAACCACTTTAAACACACAACAATTAAGAAATGTAAACATTTGCCATCTTAACAATAATACTTAATAATAAGTACAAATGTGATGAGGTTGGTTTACAGGGACTTAATTCTGGTAATAGGTAGTTGTCATTTACCTCTGTGTCAACATTTTGACAACAAAATATATATATAGAGTAATTGAAATTATTATTAGACATCAAACAATAACAGCCTCCTTGTGGTGTTCTGCGTATAGGTCTCATCCAGGCAGATCATCAGAACAAGTATTACCCATTAATAAGATTGTGTCTAAAAGCGACCCCTTTGGTGCCCAGAATAAGCTGAAGGAAGGGCTTCAAGGGTGCAAGGTCATAGTATAAAGCCACTCATGCACTGATCGTCATCCATACCATTTGCTCCCATTGACGTGACAAGTCAACAAAGAGGACACTTTACAGCACATTGTAAGTCCAATATTTACTTACTTTCATCACAGTCTGCATTTGTAGAAATGTTGTTGTTTATAATATCTACTTTTTTCTGCCAACATTCTTATTTACAGTTGTCTCAATTTATCTTTTGGTAGACACTACCATCAAAATGGCAAAGTGAGTATATTGTTATATGTTATTATTTGACTTCATGACACACTGATATATGTATAATAAAATAGAAGTATTGATAGTTTTATTGTTCTAAATAGTAACATAACATATTTGAGCTATATATTCTTACAGTAAACACTGGAAATGGATTACAAAACGGAACATTCACAAACATGTATTATATTGTGCTTAACCATTCTATCTATCTATCTATTTATATATATATATATTAATTACTCACAGAGCCGTGGATATATCTTGAGTTCAGATAATCCAACAGGTGTCTTTTCATCCTAAGTAATCCATGTGCTCTAGAGTAAAGTAGAACCAGGAGGCAGGAGGAGTGCAGTATTTACAACCCCCACCAGAGTACTTAAAAGAATTAGCATCTGATAGTCATAAATTAGAACTACACATAAGCTATTCAATCACAGTCTTTCTCCATCCTTCTCTCCTTCAGGGTTTTCAAGAAGACCAGTGGCAATGGACATGTAAGTGGTCTCTGTAATGTAGTCATTATAGGGTACTCAGAGAGCACAGGGAGGAGTAAGATTTGTATGTTGCCTTTCCAGCTCCCAGAAATAGAAATAGAAAAAAACACTTGTAACTTTGGCTAGCATAAACATTTTCCTGTGTTTTCACTCAGATTGCCCTGTACTTGGGGAAGAGAGACTTTGTAGACAACATTGATTCAGTGGAGGTTGTTGGTAAGTAACACTCACTTCCACTGCCTCACATATATACATAAGTGGACTAATTCTACTTTATAGATGGAGTTGTCAAAGTGGACCCATCGGGTCTTAATGGAAGAAAGGGTATTTATTTAAATAATTATGACTATGTGTATTTGTCATGAATGAATAATAAACAAAAAACATGTTTTGTAGTATATGTGTACCTGGCCTGTGCCTTCCGATATGGAAGTGACGACTTGGATGTGATTGGGATGTCCTTCAGGAGAGACATTTGGATCAAGCGTGTTCAGATATATCCTCCTACAGATGGAACTGCTCCAAAAACACCAATGCAAGAATCCCTTATGAAAAAAGTTGGCGACCAAGGATGTCCTTTTTCTTTTCAGGTAAATGTTTAATTCATAGTGTCTCTGTAACTTTATTTTACTTATTTACCTAACATTTTTACAGATGCCAACCAACCTCCCATGCTCGGTCGCCTTACAGCCTGGACCAAATGATGCTGGCAAGGTAAACATTTTTATCTCACATTGTTGTTTGAATGTACCAAAAATTCAACATGCCCTTTGTTATAGGCATGTGGTGTGGATTTTGAAGTCAAAGCCTACATCGCTAATGAACCAGATAATCCTGATGAAGTAATTGAAAAGAAGTATGTATTGTGTTTACAACTGAATTATAACAGATGGATGCAATGTTGCTGAATGAACACATTTTGTTATTACTCTACCAGAGACACTTGCCGCTTGATGATTCGCAAAATTCAGTTTGCTCCAGCCACCAACAAACCTGGAGCCAAAGCTGAAATCAGCAAAGGATTCATGATGTCTGACAAACCAGTCCACCTGGAGGCATCTCTGGAAAGAGAGATTTATTACCACGGTGATCCGATCAATGTCAAAGTCAAAGTCAATAATGAATCATCAAAAGTGGTAAAAAAAATCAAAATCACAGGTGCATTCATATCTTAGACAAATTACTCTTCTTTGAGAAAATTCAACTGGGATCACTAATCTATCTGGGATTTTTTCTTCTAGTCGAGCAGCTTACAAACGTTGTGCTGTACTCATCTGACACTTATACCAAACCTGTCTGTTCAGAAGAATTTGGGTAAGCCTTATTTCAATTTGGTTGAAAAATTTTTCTTTTTTGTGTTTGTCAGAATAGATTGTAATGGGACTCTTCCACAGGGAGACAATAAACGCCAATGGAACACTTGAGAAGAGTTTCCAGCTGATACCCCTACTGGCCAATAACACAGAGAAGCGTGGCCTCTCCGTCGATGGGCGACTTAAGGATGAAGATACCCACCTTGCCTCCACGACCCAGTAAGCTTGTCCGCTACGTCATTAAATAACTTAAGATGTGAGCCACTTACAATGTTTGGGCCAAATCCTAAAGCTTTGAAACTATTTCTGTACTTTCAGGAGTCAGGGAGAAAAGGAGATGCAGGGAATCATTGTTTCATACAAAGTAAAAGTAAATCTGATGGTGGCTGGAGGGTAAGTTGATTTTTAATCAAGCATTTTCAAAACAAAATAAAAAGACAATAATTGTTTTTTCTATCACTTGTCTTACAGTCTTCTTGGTGGCCTAACTGGAAGGTAATTTGCATTTTTATTTTTGTAGTAATTAATATTGGAATATATTGACACATTTAAACAAAAATCTTTGTATTCTTAGTGATGTGACTGTCGAACTACCTCTATCTCTGATGTCGCCAAAGCCTGCAGGTAACACAGCTACTGATTTTTCAAATGAATCACATGATTTTAATTATAATCTCTCTTTTTAACTACCTTTTAACCCACCTATTGTGGATTGAGCAGAAGTGTAAGTACCTAAAACAAATCTTTACTGTATAGAAATCTGATCTTTTTAAAACTGATGGCTGATTCTTTGACAACAGCAAACTGGATTAAAGACCAGTTTAGGACAGGTGAGGTCACAGTAACATATTCGGTAGATAAAATTTATTTTGTAAGGAAAAATAAATATTCAGTTCTAGAGCTAGACTAGCAGTTGTTCCCACACAACAGTTTTAAATTGCAACTTTATACTTTATTATTTTCTCTTTTGTCCTATTTTTTTCATTGCAGAGCGGATGTCATGCTGGAAGCTGAAGCCGTCAACTGAAAACACAAAAAAGGAGAAACTCAAATCAATGTTGTGCTCCATAAAGTTACTGTAGGTAACTAATTGCTTTTTAAATGAAAAAAAATACATACTGTAGACTGAATTGGCATTCAATAATTATCTTGTTGCGTTAAATTGTGTTATTTTGAGCAAAAATGTATGAGCTATTCAAGATATAATTTCTCACGCGATTGCTGTAAGATCTTAATCCTGTATCAATAAAGTCACCATCTTTCTTGTTTTACTTATGTGTGTCAAGTTGCCTTCAATACAATGCCTACACGTAAATAATAAACGTGTCGGGGCCATTATCACACTACCATGCTGCTTGTGATGGGAAAGATTAAACATTAAACATATCGCCTGTCGCCTCACGGGGGCGCTGTTTCTCCGCTGCACGTAGAGAAAACACTGCTGTTGGAAGATACACGGCTTGCTCTTCTCTGGTCTAGACATCACATCATTATCGCAGTCCACTTGCTTCATATTCAATTTTTTTACTGTAAAAATGTCAACTACGACCGGTGGTGGAGAGTTTGGCAACCCTCTCCGAAAGTTTAAACTGGTTTTCTTGGGTGAACAAAGTGGTGAGTGAACGATTTACGATTCAGTTAAAGGGATGCGATTTAACACTAGCCGCTGACTAGCATCTGTTAGCTGCCATTCATGTGTGTTACATCTAAGTATACGCTCATTTCGCCTTTTATCACAGTGCGCAAAGAATTGACGCGGGTCTTTTTGGATCCAGTTTAGGCAGTAATATTATCGATTGCTGACATCAATAAAAAACAAAAAATAACTTGACTTGGGAGAGGGTGTCACTACCTTTCTGGCAAATGGTTTCCACTGACAAATGATGGAGTTACATTGATGGACGGCACCATTTACTTCAAACGTGCTGCTTGTTTTGACGTCTTGTATGAGTCCAGACCGTATTTATGAGATGCTATGATGAGAGTTGGGTGCTGTTTAGTGGTGCGCCCTCGGCTCATTAGCATTAGCATGGAAATTAGCAGCTAAAGAAGAACGCTAGCTAACCTAAGAGCGGATACAATTAATGAAGCTATGTCGCTTTAGCTTAATTATAGTTTGCTAGTTAAGTAAACAATCGCACCATACAAAAATGCGCTGTACATAAGTAGTGTGAATGACATTTGGTCTATGGTTCGTTCGCTGCTAGCTTATGTGGTCAGAAGCTAGTGGCTAGTTTGCCTGCAGCCACGTCGGCCGCTGAGTTTCGACAAATAATGCATCTTTTTTTCTGGACTCTCTATTTTTGGGTTTCCGGGTCAGTTGTGGTTCTGTGTACTTGTGGTGACGATCATTTCAATCATCATCACACAGGAAAGCTGGTTAATTTATTTAGAAGCTCGAAAAGTTCTGAAGTCCTGACTTGTACTATTTGGCCCCTTTGTGGCTCCACCCATATTCTGCCAGCTCAGCAGCGTTCCATGTTGCACCACAGTCTATGTGTCGCGCACACTATAACAATTCGTAAACTGTTAAAAGCCCCCTATTATTGTTATATAGAATGGCTTTGTAGTAGTTTTGCATAAATCGGGTGACCCGCCTTTCCCCCTTTTGATTGTCTGTGTCCCCCTTATTTTCTGCTCCCATATGACTCAAGGCAGTGAAAGTGATTTACAATTTGTATGACAGTGTTCACATAATTAAATACATTTGCTTGTACAAATTCAGTTCAGTCTTTATAAAAATTTATCTACATTAAAACTGTATTTGTCCACAGTTGGGAAGACCTCACTTATTACCAGGTTCATGTATGATAGTTTCGACAACACTTATCAGGTAATGATGCCCATCCTCACCCATAATTTACAACTGTGTGAATTCTTTCCTGAAGATATTTATTTTTCCCACAGGCAACCATTGGAATAGACTTTTTGTCAAAAACAATGTACCTAGAAGACCGTACGGTATGTTCCAACAATGACAAAATGTGTATTTAATCTGTATTCATCTGTTGCCATCCCTCAAGATTTTTGTTTACATTATTTGTTAAGTGTGATCACAATTTATTTCCCATTGCTATCATATTTTGTTTCTTTTCATCCTTTTATTTCATGCCATGCCTATCCATTGCCACATTTCATGATGGACAAAGATTCGACTCCAGCTCTGGGACACAGCTGGGCAGGAGCGTTTCCGCAGCCTCATCCCCAGTTACATCCGAGACTCTGCTGCTGCTGTAGTAGTTTATGACATAGCTAGTAGGTATCAAGAACAGTCTTTCAGTCTGTTAAAAGCATTACATTCTTGGACACCACATGACACCACTGAGACGTGGCGCTGTGGCAAGTGCTCCGGTGTGTACTGGTGCATACTGGGGTAGTCTTGTACAATTATTCCAATGTGGTTTTACTCCAAATAATCTGAATCTGAACCTAATTTATGTTAAACAGTCATAGATGTTCTTTGACCATACACAATGAATTATTGACATATAATTATTACACAACAAATATATATGCTTTTACGTGTTTTTCAGTGGCCGTCATCGTTCTGTCTCACTGTTCAGCTTCCACTTTCCTTCATTTATACTTTTTAAGGCTTTAATTTCCTTAACGTTCTGTGATAATCTCTACTTCCTTCCTTGGGTCTCTTTGTTACTATCATTCGTCCTGTCCTCAGGTCCGTCTCCAGCTTTGGGATACTGCTGGACAGGAGCGTTTCCGTAGCCTTATTCCCAGCTACATCCGTGACTCTACCATTGCTGTGGTTGTTTATGACATCACCAGTGAGTCAGGGCTGTTGTTTGATTCCTCAGTAAATTGTGAAAGGGAATCTCTTTTCATGGCCGCTTTTCATTATTTTCTGAACTCTGTTTTCTGTGCTGGGTTAGATAAACAAGCTTTAATGGTGTTTAATGTTTGATTGATAGAAAAAACTTTTCTTTTTTTCATGTACAGATCTCAATTCTTTCCAGCAAACTTCAAAGTGGATTGATGACGTGAGGACAGAAAGAGGAAGTGATGTCATTATAATGCTTGTTGGAAACAAAACGGACTTGGCAGACAAGAGGTACATGATTTTATATTTCTTTGTGATTTAGATAGTGGTTTTGATTCTACCTATGCCATGATTCCCATTATTCGTCCTTGAGCCCATGTTGGTCGTTTTAAGTGTAACTACCCGCCACTTTTGAATATTTTTAGTCTTGTTTTTGTTTTTTTGATATTATTTTTATGGCTTTACCAAAGCTTTATTTTGAATCTTTCCCCAACCTGTTCCATGCATGTCATTTTCATTTTATTATATTTTGTGTGTTTTTGTGCGTGTTTCTATCACCTCCATGCCTCCACATATCCTTCCCCCCTTCTCCCTGGGACCATGGCAGACAAGTTTCTGTTGAGGCTGCAGAGAGGAAAGCTCGTGAGCTCAATGTGATGTACATAGAGACCAGTGCCAAGGCTGGCTATAACGTCAAGCAGGTTGGTGTATATGGAGGCACTGTTGTCTACATTTTTAGTCAGGCTTTCAGCTCAAGTCAGAGTTGTTTCTTTGCCATTTATGGATTTCATGGCTTCTACTGACTTTATAAATGTGTTTTAAGAAGCCATTTGCTTCTTTACTCTGCAACAGCTTCTACACTCCCCTCTTCCTCTCTGCCTGTGTCATAACTGAACTAACAATTCTATTCCTATCTCAATAAACATGCAATACTGAGCAGTATTTGTTCTTTCTCCTCTCTTTTTGGCCTGTTCTTTTTCTTTTTTTGTTTACATTTGTTTGTCTGTCCTTCTATCGGCCCTTTTGCCTTTACCTGAGCAGACAGATCACCACGGAGGAGGGCGAGCAAAGAGCAAAGGAGCTCAATGTCATGTTCATTGAAACCAGCGCAAAGACTGGCTACAATGTCAAACAGGTACAGGAGCTGCTCTCAGGATGGAGGATCCTTTCAAGATGTGGTTCTGCGGCATGCATCTTTCCCCCTTTTTTCTCTATCAAAGGCAGTTTCTCAAATCAAGGGTTCAAGTTTACTTTCCATGCTCTACAATAACATACTTTGCTTGTTATTGTTGCTAACACTAAACCAACCTTAATTTTTGCTCATTCCTGTGCAGTGTGCCTAAATATATGAAGCATGAACACTCAAAATATGTTTTTAAGCTGGCATGTTTTCTAAACATCCATTTACTGTTGATTCTGATCCTGTGACTGAAGCAGGAATTAGCTGCTGCATTCTGTTTTTCATCTTAATTTGTTATAGTAACTGTTGCAGATTAGCCCAGGCTATAGACCCCACAGCTAAATCTTTACCTTCTTAAACACAAAGGGCCCACAATGGTTATTGCTGATAGAATACGTTGAGTATAATATACTAATACATGGCCAGAGTGCCAACCAGTATAGTCTATATTTTTGTAGTGTCTCATTGTGCGAGTATTTTCAGTGGTCACATCATTTTTCTAATGGACCATCCCAGTCTGATTTTCACATGTTGAGCTGGTTTGTTTTTCAGCTATTTCGCCGTGTTGCGGCTGCACTGCCTGGAATGGATTGTGCACCAGAAAAAAGCAAAGAGGACAGTATCCTTTCAGTCTATTTAGCTGGAAATATCTTCACATTTGTTGTTTACGTGTCAAATCTCTCATGTATAAAAAATGAAAAAGTTCAACATCTTCTCTCGCAAAGAGGGAAAGGCCGCTTCAGGAGTGAGAACCAATTTTCCCTTCAAGAATCTAGAATATCTGTAGTTAAAGCTGGGGTACCTAAAGTTTTGTTGTATTTAATGCATGTTGTTTGTCCCAACAGAAAGACAGGCTCTGAACAGGTCAGACCACATAGCAGTGTTTTATATACTGCATACTTGTCACTATTGAGAGCTGATTGGCTGAGAGTGAGTGGTCCTCTTATTCAGTTTTCTGTCTGAAAAAGTTGAAATAAGCAGGTGACTGAAGCCAAAAGTTGCATGCATGACAATTAGTGATAGTTTTTGGAGCCAAGATGAAACCATTGATGAAAGAAATTATATATTGCATTCTTTGTGTACTAATATTCATGTTGTTATTGCTTAACAATTTCCTTTCAGTGATTGATATAAAACTGGAGAAACAGCCTGAGATGACTGTCACGGAGAGCAGTTGCTCATGCTAGTACGCCGCCTCACCGCCCGTCTTTTCCCACCAACAGCTTGTCTCTCAGTGGCCATTCTCTCCACCCTTTGGCATACTGCCGATGGGATGGACTTGTTTTTCCCTTTTTAAACTCAGTGACTTTTCAGAGTTACCATGTGGATGTGTATGAAAATAGAATATCACATGGATCTAACATTTTAAAAAGTTAAATTTGTCCAGATTTGTTTAGTTGCATGACATAATGTAAGATGAACATTGCAAATTGCTTATGAGTTATTGCACAGTTCAAATCTCTGGGCTGGTCAAGTAAAATATTGGCATTATTTTTTAGAAAGATACACATTGTAGGCATTAAGTTGGAGATGGGTTATGTGTTACGTACTATAAATGCAGGAAAAGGGATTTAATAAGGGATGTGCTTTTTGAAATGATTATAAAAGGTTTGGCATATTTGTTTGATTACACCTATTTATAACTACAGCTTAATTATCCTTAAAGGAACATGGAGAGAAGTTAAATTCATACTATAATAGTTATGGATGGATTATACATTGATGCATCGACTCATCTAAGTTATCCACAACTCTTAAAAACAAAGATTGTATTTTTATTACGTTTGTAAAGACTAATTAGGTGATCATTAGAAACTTAGTGATTTAATTGAATTTTAAAGATTTAAGCAATGTGTTTATTATGAAAACTGTCCCTTCTTTTAAGGTTCAAAAGCTGTAGTTGACACAGGTGTTGGCATTCTTTCAAAACATGCACTGGTTTTTACATTGTTTCTAAAAAAAAAAAAAAACAAATACAAATGAACTGCCAAACAATTGTTTAATGCATCAGTTTTGTAAAGGGCAACAAAGTATGAAGAGAAATTTGATTGGGTGACATTTTAATATAATGTTCACATGACATACCTGGCCTATAATTTTCCTAGTTGCTACAGTAATATTTAATTTATTCTCCTGGTGCCATCTTGAAAAATGGCCATGTTTACTTCTGTTTGCGCTTTAGCAGGAAAGTTATCATTTGGTCACTGCGGTGTACCCACCATCAACACGGATCACAGTTGTAAAATGCAGCATGCTCACTGTGCAGGAGTTATAGGATAATAACACAGATGCCTTGTTGTTCACCAATGTTGTGCACTGAATCAGCCACAATATTGTAGATTATAGAAGCCTGCTTTCTGTTGAATGGCTTCATCAGTTCTGTGGAGGTGGTAGAGTGTCCTCTCTGCTTACTAACACTGTTGCTGTAAAACATGCAGATGCTAATTCCAGTAAGGCTCAATGCTTTAGCTTTCAGTCTACTGCTGGTTTCGTTTTAATTTATTGTATTATAATGTCTCTCTGACAATACAACATTCTATATTACCAAAAGTTACTATTTGACACGCATGTTACTTTTTCATATTTATTGTTTGCGTGCCTGCTCGAAGACTATTTAAGCCTAAGCTTCGCAAAAACCTGCAGTTTAGGTCTGTGGTTTGGTTACAGTCTCAACCAATGGCCTTGGATAGAAAGTATGAAATGAAATGGCTATTAAGACACTGGTCAGATGCCATAGCTTCCAAACTAAGTTTTAATGAGGATATACCCATCTAACACTTTAACTTGCAGCTTTCTTTATTCGGTGATGAAAATTCTGCTTTGTGCTTTTTTGTGTCTACTCGTGTTTAGAAACAAGTGTGTGAATACTGTACTATTACTGTCTTATGTATAAAAGGAGAATTATTGAATCACAAGTGTAGACTTATCACATGGTATAAAATAAAGTTTCACCAGACTACAATTGGACTAATTGTTTTTATTGCGTGAAAATGTTTAATTGGAGCCTAGGATCAATAAAACATGATATAGTAATTAAATTAGAAGGCCATCAGTCTGTAAAATGTGTAAAAAAGGATGGGTTATGCTCTTGCCTCACAGCAAGGATACTCTTGCTAGTCCAGGCCTCTCTGTGAGATGGTTTTACAGTCTGGTTATGTCCAGTATCTGGGTGGGTTTTCTCCGTGCGCTCCAGTTTCCCCCACCACACAAAACATGCACTTTTTTTATGTTTATTTTTTAAATCCTTTAGTGAAAGTTGTCCACCTGACCAAGCTGAGCACCACAATGCAACACTCATGCTGGTATTAATTTTTCATTTAACAGCATAAAAAGGCTTAAAGATCTGAAATGTAAGTTATCCAAACTTGAGGCTACCGCGACCATGTTCATGTAGCATGAGTCACACTGTGTGACTGTTGTGAACTGAAACTACATTGAGTAATGACGTGCCCAAAGTATTACGAAAGACGTGTGTAGGGGTGACATTGCACTTACCCTACACATTTATTTGGTCATAAATCCTTTTAAAATCAGTGGCTAATACTACACATTCCTAATGAAGGAAAGTGAACAGTAGGTCATTACACCAATGAAACTAGTGACTCCTGTCTGTCCATTGGGTCACAGTCACACCTGTCTACCGGAAGTGCTATGACGTCACAAAAGCGCAGGTATTCCGCTCTGAAATCTCGCTCAACCAGATCCACGCGTGTATATCTATATGCGCCCCACAGAGACTCCGGAGATCAGACTCTGCACTCTGACAACTTGTCCAGGATTTTACTTTGGAACAACTGCAAGATGTCCTCAAATATTTTACCAGACGAGACGGTGTTTGAAGACTTCAAAAAACAGTGTTTAGCCACAGAGAACTGGACCAACAAGTATGACAAAAACGGAATGCAAGTGTGGGTCGAAATGCCCCCTCGAGCAGTGAAGACAAACAACAAGTCCAAAGTTCATAAAATGAAGGTACGTTTGAGAAATGATTCTAACTTTATTATAACTATGGTTTGACTGATTTCACTTTTGGCACATTTGTCCAGTGCAAAATGATCGTTAAAGATGTATCTGCTGCCACAATGTATGATGTTGTCCATGATGGAGAGTATCGTAAGAGTTGGGACCCTACTATGGTGGAAAGTTATGACATCGCACGTCTGTCAGCAAATGCTGACATTGGCTACTTCTCATGTAAGAACACCTTAATATGACAATTACTGAAGCACTTCCAACATGGAGGGCTATCGCACATCCTTTTCTCACCAATAGTGTTGTCAATATTTGACCATTTAGTAAACAAATGTTGTCCATTCTTTTGTTTATTGTCACAACACTGACGCAAACGCACTTTGTGTTTCTCAGGGAAATGTCCAACCCCTATTAAAAACAGAGATGTAGTCACGTTGCGTTCATGGCAGGTGAATGAGGAGGAATATATCATTGTTAACTTCTCTGTAAAGCATCCAGTAAGTTACTTTTTGTACCCGCTGGTAATTTGCACCCTGATTTTCTTTTACTGGAAATTTCATTTTTGTTCTTGTCATTTCAGCAATTCCCTCCCCGCAGCGACCTTGTTCGAGCTGTTTCTATCCTGACAGGCTATTACATCAAACCCCTTGGACCAAACAGCTGTACATTTTACTACCTTTCTCAAGCCGACCCTAAAGGTAAATGTTGCTGTATTTATACATGTGATCTATTACAATGAGGCAGTACCTGAAGTAATATTCTTTTTTTTTTTTTCTTCAGGTGCTCTTCCCAAATGGGTGGTTAACATGGCATACCAAGTTCTAGCTCCTGATGTAAGTAATGTGTGCATGTCAGCATTGTCAAATGTTAATTTAGGCTGTACGTGTGTAACTAAACTGCAAGTGAACTCTGTGTTGGTGCGTCAGAATAGTGAGGGTGTGACAAAAGTGTAGTCAAGTATCTTAATAGGTGTGTACTTAAAAATACTCCAGATTTATGTATTTAACAGGACAATGGTAACTATAGAGACTGCATAGACCTGTCTTGTAAGACTGCTGACATAGGACTAGCGTCAACTGTTAGTCTTCGAGTAAAACTTGTTCTCCAAGTTTTATACTTTCATTGCGAAACAATTGTAAAGAGGAATGTACAAGAGAGATGGACAGAAACTTAAGCCGACCAGAAGTTCCTACAACTGTTGATTCAGTATGCCATTAAACCTTCCATTTACATTGGACATAAGTAAAGCATAAAGTAGGTGAAGTTACAAGTTATATCCGTGTAAGAATTATTTCTAAGCACTAAAATCATCCATAATTGATGAATGTCCAAGTTTTTAAACCATACAGAGTGACAGTCCAAGCAATAAACTCCTTTGTCAACAAGCAGACCACATCAAAACAGTTGTGTAATGCACTTTGAAAGAGATATAATCATTACAACAATAATTGTAATGACATTTTCTTTTGTGTTATTCAATTTGTGAAATGAAAATGGAGGTGAAGTAGCTCTCTTATTAAGCTTTTTATCCACTGCAGGTAATGAAGAGTGTGCATAAGGCAGGACAGAAGTATCCAGAGTGGAAAAGGGAAAACTCTCCAGAACGCAAACCCTGGCTGTATCCAGAACAGAACACCCTGCCCATGATGGACCCGGCTGAGCTGTCCATTCAGAGAGGTGACTCGCTCGAGAATATAAATGAGACTTCACCCGACAGTGAAGATAGTAGCTAGATAGATATAAGAGCTGAAAATATGAATGGGAGCATAGTTATTAGCTTTTATGAAGAAAAAAAAGGTTTAACAGGTTTGATTGTTTACAGTGCTAAGTTGAAAATGCCAAAAATGCCTCAATGTTAATCCAAGTCGAAATGAGTAATGGGCTTCAGCATTCGTTTCTTCAAAAGATAGCACAATGTTGTAATTGTTTTTGTTTTTTTTATTTAAGATGTGTTTCAATACACATGTCCCGATATTGTTATGTTTAAGGCTTTAGAAGGAAGAAAAAATCGATTCCCTTTTAAAAAAATATAAAAATCAGTAAACACATTTTATTATCAGTAAACACATTCTGTGCGACAAACGGGTGACCACCCAGACGTAAAACATGCATGTAGATACAAAAAATCATTGAAATGATTGTAGTATTGCAGGATAGTGAGCTATGTGATGAGTAATGACTACATATTGATATTTTAAAAAATCGAAACATCAATGAACAATAGACTGGGACAATGAACAGTGAACTATTTCATAGACAAGGAATTTGCTTGGATGTTGTGGTGCAAAGGTACACTACAACAACAGGTGAGCGCCATGTTTATAAACACTGTCGATGTTTAATCGTGTGTTTTGGACTGAAAAAGTTACTACATAGCCTCCACCGTGTCTATAAACGCAATATTTGGATTTCTCAAAACTCCTATGGGGATTTTCAATGTAATTTTGACTTCCGGGACGCGAGAAGACTGCCTCTTCACAGCTCCATAGAAGAGATATAACTTTATATAGATGGTGTTTTGTGCGTGTGGTGAATTGTGTTGAGGGAGGTATTGAACCATGTAATGAGTATGGCAGCCCTACTAAAAACCATTCATGAACCTTTTTCTTTTACATTTGAATGGTCACAAGTTGTATTTGAAACGGTGTTGACTTTCACCACTGAATGTGAATGTTGAAATGAGCTCAATCTGAGTATTTGAATGTCATGTTAAAAATCATGGTTTTTATTATGCAATGTACATGTTTTTGTTTCCTGTTGTAAATGTTTGCCCCAGTTTGTGTTTTATATTTAAAGATGTATTTATGTTTCAATAGTGAAGGATTGTTGGATACTTGCACTGACACTGAAGGAATGATCAAATTGTGACCTATGTGGATGATTGCATTGTGTAATGTACTTATTCTTGTCAATTGTTTTATTTACTATGTATTTCTGACATTCAGAAGTCACCGACACTGTTACTAGTTATTTTTATCATGTTTCAGTTTATATCTGTCTTGACCTTTTGTTTGTTTTAAATCCATTTAACATTTTAATGTCATTAGCTACACATTGATAATACATTATCAATGTATTGTATCTGTTGTAAGTTTGTAAATTAAAAAAAAGAATATCCTTCCATGACTTGCAAATACATCTGTTAGGAATAATAAGTCTGCTGAAAAACAACACTGACAACTTGAGTGTATACATTTATTATACAGCTCAACATAAAGTCAGTGTATTTCATAATCAAGTCTGTAAATATGAGCAGTTCAGCAACAACACATGGTATTCTCTTCACACTGTGCCTGGTGCACTGCTGCTCCACCAGACAATGTTACACTCGCGCACACAACAGTCCACAGTCAGGGCTCCGTGACACACAGCATGTTTTGTTTTGTGTTGTAATTTTGTAAAAACCGTGCAAATGTAAAATCTTACTCCAGAAATAGTATTGTAAATGCAAATGCAAACATGAATCCGCTGTAGAGTCTTCGTCTAAATAGAAATTATTTTTATATAGATCCATACTAGTAAGGAACATCCCCGTGAGTCACAATATGATGCTTGAAGCTGTGGTGTAGGGAAATCCACAGCTCACTTAAGTGTAAAAAAACTGCGGTATGATTAGTGGCAAACCTCCATTGAAATATTGATGACCTCCCAACGTTTTACAATTTCCTAGCCTTAATGACTATAACTTGCTGCATGTACTTCCACAACCATTAATATCCTCTGAACAATGTCACTTTACTTATCTACCTACAGTATTATCCTGCACTATATGTACAGTATATATATATTTTTTTCAGCATCTACAGATAGTTATGCTAGTAAAGAAACATAGCTACTACTTATTTTGTATATTTTGTGTGCTCCCTGTGTGCTCTTACTACTGTCCTGTATGTGCGCTGCAACATCGAAATTTCCCCACTGTGGGACGAATGAAGGAACTCTTATCTTAATGAAAAAGTAATAAAATGTGTTTTTGTCTATTCAAAGTGAGTGCATAAATTAAAGAGAATTCCATTGTCATCTTCACCTAGTGTACAGTCCTCTCTTTCTGTCTCTGGTAATCTGAAAAGGAAAAAAAGTAATTTTCCAATATGCTTCGCCAATAGCATGTCTTTAAAAAGTACTTACTGTAAGGAAAGAACCGAACTCTCATGAGGATTTCCCGTGCAGTCTTCAGAATCTCAACAGCCTAAATGGTTGAGGAACTTTGTTACAGTTTTTACACCGCATAGAATCCTGGGCTAAAGTGACTTACCCGTGAATGCTCAATATCTTGAAAATCCACGTCATTAACCGAGAGGACCTGGTCTCCTTCTTGTAACCCTGCTCGATGCGCATCAGAGTCTGGAACAACCTGTCAAAAACATGCAATTATATTAAACTTGAAAGAACGAGAGGTGCGAAGGTAGGTGGATAACGCACTATATTCACCTTAGAAATAAAGATCCCCAATTGTGAAGCTTTGCCTCCACGAATGTTGAAACCCAGTTGTGCTCCGGGGGGTTTCTTTAAGACAATAGTGCGAGGCAGAAACTGGGTGAGTTCATTGTTGTAGTCAGGATGGTGAACCCTCTACAAATAAACATGAGTTGTTAAAATATATTGTTTACACTTGAAACAGTCACGACTTGGAATAGGAAAGGTTTGGAACATAGATGAACACTATGAGTAAACAGGACACTAGAGAGAACATGGATATACGTATGGTCTATTGGTTCTACTTCAATGATTTTAGGGAAACACACACAATAAAGTTTTTGTGATTAAAATGGTAGAAAATAAGACAATAGAAAAAGTGCCAACCCAAAATGTGAGAAGTACACTTTGTTCAACACATATTTTTAAAGGAAGTAGAATTTTATGTTTTTTAAATAAAGGTTACCATGGTAATGATCTCTCTAATGCTCTTTATACTCAATGGATAAACAAATCATTAGAGCAAATGAAACCTCTTGTGGTGGTATCCATGCAGGGGGGTTTTCATATGAAGGCAAAAACACCACTGGCAGCTGGTAGTCGTCATAAGGAATCTTCTGGTCCATGATATGGCCTTATACATAAAATAAGTGAACAGTTAACTTGAAGGTATCTTTGAACTGTGAAAATCAAGTTTCATTGTAGGTTAGCGTTAGCCGTATTCTAAATGGCCAGTTTAGGTATTTGTTGATGAATGCGCTTCATATTATAATTAAACATCCGTCTTATTTTGATACAATTTACCTTTGAAATGTTAAACCGACAGATCAATCTTGATTGCTTCCTTCAAACAACTATGCCCATCTCACTATCCACTGGAGAGCGCTGTACATAACACATAAACTGAAATAAATAGTTGTTCTTTCTCCTTAGCTAACGAAAGTAGCTAGCCTTAACACACACTAGTTGGTTTCTTTTCTAACGCAATGCAACATGATACTGTCTCAAACGTAAAGCGACTGTGCTAATTCCTCTTTTGAATTATTGTTTTCGTTCGCATCGATGTTTTCAGAAACGCGTGTCGATTATTAAAGACTTATTAGGGCTAAAAGAAACTGATCACCTTAAAAAGTGTCAACAAACCCTCCTCCACCACCACAGTCCAGTATGTGTGCGCCACCTAGTGTCGGGAGTACGAATTGCAACGTGTACAAAAAGCAGTCTGTTCTAAAAGTATAAAAGAACTGTTGGTTTTACAGTCTATGGTTTGTGCCCGTTATGGGTTTTAAAATTGTGGGTTATTTATTTTAATTTTTTTCGAATTTAAGGAGAAAATTTATGATTTAATTAAACAACACAAACATTCACTCACATGTCCAGGACAAAAAAAGAACAAATAAAAATATACAGACTCAAACAAACAAATAAATGCTTAAAAGAGAGTACAGGCACAACTAAGCATGTGTTGCAAGTCTCTTATTTGTCTTTCTTTTTTTAAAATATCACAGTTTATTATTATTAGTAATTATTACGAGTGTGGCTCAATAACAAAATAAAACCGGGTGTGGAACAGAGATGGGAGGTGGAGGTCCAAAAAGTAAAAGGTTTATTATAAAAGGTGCCAAAGAACCACTGTTCTGATGACAACAAGCAAAATGCTCCAAAAGGGGTGAGGTGCAGACACAGGATCCACTGGTCCAACGGACGGTCGAAGTGGCAGAGAGAGCGAGCCTGGTCTCGATCCAGGCCCTTTGTCAATCAATCAATCAAAGTTTATTTGTAGAGCGCCTTTCATACACAGGGCAACACAAAGCGCTTCACAGTCCACATCACAAATCATCACATAAAACAAACACCAGAATCACAATTAAAACATTAAAATCACACAAAAGATTAAAACCATTAAAACTTTCAAATTACACTAGGAATTGAAATAAATAAATAAATAAATAACCACAGTGCATTAGAAATGGAGATAAAATCCTTCAATTGTATGCACAGGCAAACAGAACAGTCTTTAACCTGGATTTGAACATTGACAGAGTAGACACCTCTCTCACATTTTCTGGGAGATTGTTCCAGATCTTAGCTGCATAGATCTGAAACGCAGCCTCCCCATGTTTGGTTCTCACTCTGGGCACCAGCAGGAGGCCAGTCCCTGTGCTCCTCAGAGTCCGAGCCGGTTCATATGGCACCAATATGTCACTAATATATTTTGGTGCAAGGCCATGGAGAGACTTGTACACAAGCAGAGCTGTTTTAAAGTCTATTCTCTGAGCTACAGGAAGCCAGTGCAGAGACCTGAGAACTGGACTAATGTGTTCGTACTTCCTGGTTTTAGTCAGGACTCGACTGTTTGGACAGACCTGCAGGCCATTGCAGTAGTCTAGCCTGCTGGAGACAAATGCATGGACAAGTATCTCCAAGTCTGCTTTGGACACTATATTTCTAACTTTGACAATGTTCTTCAGATGGTAAAAAGCTGCTGATGTTACTGATTTGATGTGGCTATTGAAATTTAGGTCTGAGTCCAGTATTACTCCTAGATTTCTTACCTTGTCTGAAGGCAGTAGGGAGAGAGACTGAAGTTGACAAATGACGCCCTCTCTTTGTTTCTGGGGACCAAAGACAATGATTTCGGTTTTGTCTGCATTTAGCTGGAGGAAATTATTTTACATCCAGTCACTGATTTGTTGGATACAGTGAAAGAGCAAATCCAGTGGCCCATGTTCTCCTGCAGTCATAGATCTGAGTGTCGTCAGCGTAATTGTGGTAGGACACTTTGTTTCTTTGTATTAACTGACCTAACGGCAGCATGTAGAGATTAAATAGGAGAGGTCCCAGGATCGACCCCTGTGGTACTCCACAGGTCAGGGCCACATGATCTGAGACGCAGTCTCCAATCTCCACAAAGTACTTCATATCTTCCAGGTAAGACCTAAACCAGTTTAGGGCTGTGCCAGTGACACCAACCCAGTCCTCTAGTCTCTGCATGAGGATCTCATGGTCGACAGTGTCGAACGCGGCACTAAGATCCAACATGACTAAAACTGTGACTTTACCTGCATCAGTGTGAAGTCGAATGTCGTTTGTTACCTTCACTAGAGCGGTCTCAGTGCTGTGGTGGGGTCTAAACCCAGACTGGAACATATCAAAAGAATTATTCATTGTTAAAAATTCAGTAAGTTGTTGGGAGGCCACTTTTTCAATAATTTTTCCAATGAATGGCAGATTCGATATGGGGCGGTAATTTTGAAGTACCGCAGGATCCAGACTGCTCTTTTTTAGGAGAGGTCTTATGACTGCTGTTTTTAGGGCCATAGGAAATGTTCCTGACGACAGAGACATGTTTAATATTTGTGTCAGTGAAGGTAACAAACTGCTCAGGACGGACTGCAGAAATTTAGAAAGTAATATATCCAGGCTACATGTGGAGGAGCTCAGACTCATGATTATCTTTTTGACAGTTTCAGTATCCACAGGTGCAAAGTGAGTTAGCTCAAAAAGCTTCTCTGGCTGTTGCATTGTTATACGTGCTGTGGAGGTGATAGTGTTTTTGATTCCTTGTACTTTGTCATCAAAAAACTGTGCGGACTCATTACACCTAGATTTAGAGGTCAATTCTAGGGGCAACTTTACAGGGGGGAACTGTTGAAAACATAACACGAAGATTGTTACTGCAACCTCCAATAATGTCAGAAAAATACATTTCTCTTGTTCTACGTAGAACCCGGTTAAATTCACCCAACTCATCTTTAAAGATTTCATTATCGCTTCTGTGCCCTGACCGAGTCTGCCTATATCAATGGGGCCTTTTTCTTACTGGTAACCATTTTAACCGTCACAGGAGCAATGGCGTCCAGAACAGTCAGAACACTGGTGAGCATAAAATCAAGATCATAAGAAGTGATAAAATTATTAATTAAAAATGATTTGTTACATAGAGATTTGACATTAAGCATAGCAAGTTTAAAAATAACATCAGAGTCAATGAATGTTGTTGATTGATTTCTACAGGGAACAGAAATCAGATTTGCCGAGTTGGACCGTCTAACTGCTGTCCTGTTATGATTTAGTTTTTTAGAATTGTATGTCTCCCAGCTGATTACCCACAGGTGTGAGTGGGACGTCACTGAGCTGGAGGTGGGAGGGTCTGACAGGTGGAGGCAAGGAGAAACACAAAACCAAAAACTGAAGGGCTTTGTCCGTAACAGTAATATTTTTTGCAAGAGATCAGCTCCAACAGCCAACGCTACATGAGAGTCATAATGTTGCATTTCATCCTTCAAGAAAGCATGGATTATACCAGTGAAATAATATTGGATCAGAAAATACCATGATCAATTTGAACATGGTCACCTGTTCACACACAGACATAGAGTTCCTTTAAATGATAAATGGTATTCTGTTTGTGGGCAAATGCTGGGTTGTAAAACTTATGAAACAGGACATGTTCTATCTTCTATCTACTTAGTTCACATGTGTCAGCCAGATCCATGGTGTCAGCACGTATTCCTACTACTACCTGACATTTTGGCTCCTCCTCTCAAGATTCAGTGAAACCATGGTTGCCACCCCTTTACTCAAGCAGCTATTCATCTGTTCTATTCACATTCAACTCACGGGCCCTTGGTACCCACAGGGGAACGCAACAAGAAGATCAAGATGCTCTTCCACTACAGGATTATGGTAAAAACATTTTTTTATATGAGGCTCAGTCATTATACAGCAGATGGATGTTATTCCATATCATTCATCACCTCTCTATTAAGTTTACATAGCAGCAGCTGAACAAAGTGGCACTGTGATGTTAGAATGCAAAGCCTGAAGAGAGGGCAGTTTTTCTAAAATATAGTTATTGTATCTGTTAAAATTGTACAAGATGTAACAAAAGTATTGAAATTGTAATTTATAAATTACAAACAGAGATGTTTGTGACAAACATCTCTGATGTTTGTGATGTTTGTGACAAACATCTCTGTCAAGGCTCCTGACTTAAAAAAACAAAAAATTAATGCGTTTTTGGCTCTAAAACAGTTCAATTCTTACTTTTCACATGAATGAATTTTCCATCACATCTTTAGATCAGCTTTTTCAAAAGTGACAAAGAGAGGACCACCTTCACTCAGTCAATCAACTCTCACTCCAAAGCGTCAAAGTGACTAACTGTTGGTGTGCAACAAGTGTAGATATACAGATAGAATTTTTCTCAATTAAGATGAAGACACCATTTTGCAATCATATCTGTTCAAATTTTACTTTTACAAGACTCTTTTTGTTGAGACAAACTATATGAATTGGAGTAATTAAGAAATAATAAAGTTAGGTAACACAATTTTAATATTGTGGTAACTTTGTCAATTTCTTGTTTCTCTGTTATATGAGAAAAGTAATACTTGTTGTTTATGATCTATTCTTTTTTATTGTAAGAAGATCAAATGAAGAAGGACAAAAAGACTTGTACGCAATACCTACATCTGGCAATGGTCCAGAGGGAAATCAGGTAATGTTAGCTGTCTTTTCCCCAAACAAGAAACCCGTATTGCTCAACATTAACGGATGGGGAGAAAATAATAATGAAATCCCATATCTCATGATATCTGGTGACATTCAATAAACTGTGCCTCAACTTGTTCAGATATCTTGTTGGGACAAGAAGTTACTTTAATCTTTTTTTTTTTTGTTTTTTTTTTTTTTAAATCATGTTTATGTTTGTGCAGTCTGTCAGTAAGTGTTGCACTGTTTCCTCCTCTGCACCCTGACTGTGCCTGTCACTGGCTCAGTTTATGTGGTGAAGGCCAGCAATGCCAGCCTATTGTCACTGAGGCTGCCATAGAGTCCTGGATCCACTCCCCCATCACGAGCACAAGGGTCTATTGATACAGCTATTATTGAGCCTTAATGCCATTATATTCTGCTTACCACTTTACTTCTTTCTTTTCATAAAGGTCGCAAGGACTGAATACAAATCCTGAATGTGTCCAGCCTTCGTCTGCAGTTGTGAACATGTCAAACTGCAAAAGTATTTGTGCTGTTTGCTCCAGGACCGTGTACAGCTGCTATTGGGGAAAACCACGAGAATCAACCAAAAGCAAAACAGTTAGTACATTTTAATTTTAACTTTCTCTCATATCAGCTTTTATGTTTCCTGAAGTAGTGGGCAATTCCTGGGATTAACATACCAGCAGTCACAATCTATTTTGTCATCTTACTGCCGATTGCTCTCACAAAATAATCGCCACGGTCTTAAAACTATATAGTGGAATGATGATTGAAATGTTGATTGTCTTGTTACTCACAAGTCCTGACAACACTTCAGTATTGCAACATTTATCAGACGGGGGTGGGCAACAGCAATCTTGTTTATTCCAGGTAGTGTGTTGTATGTCAATATACGACAATATTCAACCCAAGACAATATTTGGGTAATATCAGCAATGCCTTGCTTAAACTACAGTATGTCTTAAAAATGACATTCCCAATAGGGCTACCTCTATTTATACTTAGGATTACACTAGAAACAATGTCACATGAGGATTAACCCAAATGAAAAGGTACAATGACTGAACTCAAACAACATTTGTACTGCATAGGACTTGAATGTACAAAAATACGTGTCTACTGCATGTATGTATTTTATAGAAAGCATGCTTGTGGTTCTCCATTGTGGCCGTGGTTACTGTTACGGCCCTGGCGTGGATGTATATTTGTATGGTCACTTATAATGACCAAGAAGATGTTAATTGGTGAGTAGCCGTTTAACCATACACACAATTTATGTTTTGTATAGGGTTTGGTGACCTATACCTGGTAATCTCACAATGCCCTCCATTGTTCTGTCAACAGGAAAGGTTTCACTGCTCTACACTTGTGGATTAACTGGTTTATGGTTTTGATCATTCTTTCGGCTTTGATAACAGCCTATTGTGTCTTCCTCCTGGTGAGAAATATTACTACTGTTGTTATTTCTTATCACATGTTCTAATATGTTCCATTTTTACAGATATTTGCTTTAATACAAGTTGCCTTAAAAGGGCCATTGAATCTACATTGGGCACATAAGGTTCGGAACTAAGGAAGCATTCAATTGTTTATGTAATCTATCATAACATTTTGTATTTTCAGATTTTTCTTTTGGTTGGGAGCATATTCATTGCTTCTGGAGTAATAGGCATCAGTTTGGTGTGGAAACAAGAATGGCTGACTGTTCGGCTCTCACTTGAGGTAAACCTTACAATACATGCAGAAATGGACCTTGTGTTGTTTATAGTTAGAAATGATATTTGTATGATTTATTTTGTCTGACAGGCTACAAGCCCATTTCTGCAATTTGGTGCTGTTGGGGCCTTGACGCTTTTATGCAACATGGTTTTCAAAGCAATCTTTACCACTCGTCAAACGCGTAAGTAAAATCTCAAACAGCAAACAACAAATTGTTGGTTTAGTTCTTTTGTTTAAACAGCTTGTCTTGAACAGTGACTGAGATAAACAGTTCATTATTTCCATTCAGTTTCCAGGTACATTATTGGCTCAACATTTGCCACGGTGTCTGTGGTCCTCTTTTTGTTGCCGCTGTGTATCCGGTCTCCTTGTTTCATAGAAAAACATAAGTTACCTGCAAAGCCAATGCTGATTGGGCATCGAGGGGCCCCCATGGTAATTACAGTTTATGATTGCACCACAACTTCAAAATCAAATTTACTAATCAAATCATCATGTAGCTTTTGCGAGAGATATCGAAATATTAACCCTGACAACAACAGAATATGTTTGGATCAATTTTCATTTACAATATTCAAAACATGACAAATAAATTCTAAAATAAGACAATCATCCATTTTCTTTCACTTTATCCATCGCAATCATGGCAGCAGCAGTCTAACCAGGAACCAGATTTCCTTATGCTAATCATTATCCCAAATTTCATTTTTTTGGCCATATTTCGAAGATTATAAAGGATAACACAAACACCTTTTTTTATTTATTGTGAATAATTGTGTAAAGCCACATTGTTGGATAAATGTGTTTTTAGTTTGAAATTGTAACATCATTGAGCTGATCTCGGGAGATCTCAAATCTCCCCGGTTCATTGGAATCTCGAAGCTTTTTCACGTTGGCTTCACCCAACAACAAACAATGAGTGAAAGTATGTTTGCATTATCATTCATACTCTCCAAAATGTCTGCCTGAGTGTGTACACTTTCAAACACAACTGTATCAGACATGCTGTACATCAAAAACAGAACAAGTCGTACTAATAAGATAAGACAAGAGATTCTTTATCCTAGGCACAAATGCAAACGCTTAACAAGACATTACCAACACCACAATGTTGGTAATGTCTGTGTCTGATTCATGTTTGTTACAATGTTTTTTTTTTTTTTTAGCTGGCTCCAGAAAATACCATTATGTCATTCAATCGCAGCATATCATGTGGAATTAAAGCCTTCGAGACAGATGTTCAGCTCAGGTACATCCAGTTTTTTTTGACCTATTATATCAGAATTATTATCATTATTATTGTATATCATGTATTTACATTACTGTAATTTAACACAGTGAGGACAGAGTACCCTTTCTGATGCATGACAACGACTCCAACTTTCTCCTGAGAACGACCAACGCTAAGGACGCATTTCCACACAAACCATTGCACACGAGTGCCAGTTTGACATGGGCAGAATACCAGAGCCTGAATGCAGGTGAATGGTTTGTCAAGGTGAGAACTTCGACTGGATTTTTCGGTTGACAGTTGAACATTTTTGATATATGGCTCTTCATACACATGCAGACTGATCCCTTTAAGACAGTTTCACAACTTTCTGAGGCTGAGAAAGAAATGGCCCAAAATCAGAAAATCCCCACTTTACAGCAGCTCCTACAACTGGCTCAGCAGCACCGCATCCATGTCATGTTTGATTTGTACAGTCCTAACCAAAAAGATGACACCATCGATACGGTGAAAACCATCCTGCTCTCTGGCATAGACCGCAATCTGGTAAGTCACTAAATCTCAAGTTTAGATATGTACTCTATTAGGAGGCACTTTTTTATATTTAAGCTGGAGTACCTAACTTTTGAAATCAAGAGTCACACATCTAACTCACTCAGCCAATCAGCTCTCAGTAATGAAGAGAGCTGATCAGTTAGAGATATATAGGAGGATTTTCTACTTCCGGGTGGATCATCAAGACTATTGGTCCTCCTAATTGCCAAACATTCTGGTGATATGTGCTTGTCAATCAAAACCAGAGATATTTTTCAAAAAGTGTAGAGGGCGTGTAGAGGGCTTTTCTAAAATTTGGGAAAATCCTTCTATATACCTTTGACTTGTCTCACAAGTCTGAAATTTTTCCTCAAAATGTTACTTAAACAAGTAAGTTTCTGTTGGGTCAAACGTGTATTTATGAAACCAAAAAAGGGAGGTACTCCAGTTTTATTGCAAGTCCAAACTGATCCAGCATCATTATAATATTAAAGTTGCGTTTTTCCAGGTTCTCTGGCTTCCCCCAACAGAAAGAGACTATGTCAAAGCGTCGGGATTCACTCAAGTCTATAATAATGTGGGTGAAATGAAACGTAAAAATGGAACCCATTTGAACCTGAAATACAGCAAGATCAGTACAAGAGAAATCAGGTAAAACTTAACGCATTACTCTTGCATTGCTGTTTGTGCTTTAGTGCTGTTAGATTTTCTATTGTATGCTGAGGCAAGCTCTGAATATAGAATGACCACTTTAAGAGCCGTGGGCTATAATTTTCACATGTGCACAAAACCACAATTGGAACAGAGGAGCGTTCATGGTTGGGTGACCAAATTTAAAACGCACAATGAAAAGCATCGTGGGAATATGCAAGAATTTACCATCATTTAGAGCCGTGTTTTCCAAGCTGGGGCACTTACTAGGGCCAAGGTTGGAATTGAAAAAAAAAAAAGAGAAAAATACGGCCGTAACAATATTTTTGTTTAATTTGGTATAAATATTTCAGCAATTTACAATGTAAGATAAAGTGAAACAGGGGTGCTCAGAGTGTGATATGATGCATTGGTTGTCTACATCATAGATGTTGGCAAGCACAGAATTCGGAAACTACTTTTCCCACCTTAAAAATGTGTGTGTCTGACAGAGAACTTCGAAAGAACAACTTTGATGTAAACTTGTGGGTGGTGAATGAGAGGTGGCTCTTCTCACTGCTGTGGTGTGCAGGAGCCAGTTCTGTGACCACCAACTCATGCCACACTCTCAAGGACATGGAGTGGCCAGACTGGACCATAGTAAGAATAAAGGTTTTTAACAGTGGAATCTATCTTTGTGTTCAATTTAACAAAAATGTGTATGACATGTGTTCCAGACCCGTCAACTGTACAGAAAAATATGGCTCACTGTGGATATAGTATCTCTTCTGATAATGGCAGGGCTATTTGTTTATCAATGGTAAGATATCTATTCTATCTTCATTCTATTCTATAAAGTATGACAATGTTTTCATTAATTATAATATTAGTAAACTATCATAGGTAAACATTATTGCTTGATTTAAGATAAATGTGTAAACAAAATACCCTGGATAATACTTACAGTGAAGTAAATATACACGCACAGATAAAGTAAATACTGTCTTACCCTAAACTGTTTGACGTCTGATTTTAAGGCACGAGAACCAGAAGGAAGTCATAAGAGTGGAAGAAGAAAAAACTGTCTCCTTTCTTACAAGCAAATCGTTTGATGACAACACCACTGTATCATTAACCAGTGGGCTTATTTCTGACACATCTACAGACAAAATATCTTAAAATGTTCTTTGTAGCCTGTTGTGTTTTTGCATAAGCCTGTTCATTGTTTTGGGATGTTTTTTTGTCTTTGTGGCTGTTTTTTTTGTTGCCACATTTGCAAAAGAGGCCTTTCTTGGGCAGTTTCCCACACCTTTAAAATAAACAATGTTTTACAGGTAAAATTACCAGCATTCATTCCATTTTATTGTGATTGACTAGTGTGGTGGCAGAATGCAGAGAGATAAAAGGGCAGCTACATGATTAGTGACCTTGAAGTTGAAATGTTATTGGACTGATGTTTTTCATCACTTAATGGGACCTTTATCTGAATGTGGCTTTAATAATTTAATAATCTAATAATAATAGGTTTTGTTTAATATTTGTTTATTGTTTCATTATACACAGTTTCAAATTACAACATAAATGAACTATAATATAAAATCCATTTAACTGCAGTAGTTCTCAATACAGTTTGGTTTTATCAGTTTTCACATGGATGTATTTTTTAGCCTCTCTATCTAGCTCAGCCAATCAACTCTCAGTCCAAAGCGTCCAGAGACTTATGCTCCTTATAACAAGTATCCAAAATATAACAAGCTCTAATAAGACAGAAACAAGACATACCCATTTATGTAGGATCAACTGAAATTATGTATGTATTAATCTTAGACAGTATACAATACTAGAAAATGTACAATTGCTAAAGCCATTAATGCAGTTACTCGCAATGGCTTCTGCACACCATAAACAAAACAAAGAGCTATAACACACTAAAAAGATCAGAAACGTTGATAACATTAAATTAAGAATATGAAAAATCCGATCATAATCTGCCACTTTTATTGTACATAGTATATCTTGCATTTAACATTTAACTGGTGTGAGATCAATAAAGTATATCTGATCTTATCTTATAAAAGTTCAATTTGAAGTACTGAAAATACTAAAAAGGTAGAAGTATCCAAAGTAATGCAATGAGCCACCCCATTATGAAGATTAGAAAGAGGAAAAAGGTACCAAGGACATAAAAAAAAAGATAATTTAAAACAAAGAACTTTTCATTGAAATCTATGGAAGCATTGAAAATACTGCAATACCAATATCACTATAAAGTTTAAACTCTAAAAAGATCAGAATCGTTCTAAACATAAGATAAAAAGGACAACAAATACAAAATGCATAAGATTTTAAAAACGCCATTATAGAAGATAGGAAAAAGTACAACTTGAAACTTGAAACCATGTGCACTTGTATATTGTAAATAGTAACTGTAACTCTATTTTAAATTTAAATGTATTCCTTAGAAGTGTTTTTTATTCTTTATTTTTATTATCTCTTTCTGACTGTTGCACTGAGCCAAAGCAATTTCCAAGTCTGTGACTTCCTGTTACTTACGTGGCAATAAAAATGATTCTGATTCTGAACAAATATGTCAAATACTACAAAAGATATGTACACCAAAAGTACTTGCCCCGATGAGACTATGAAACCGAACAAAACGAGGTTGAGAATAGATGAAAGCGTTGGAACATTGATGTGGTCACTCAAATAATTGACCCATAATCATAGACTGTATATACGCCTCTTTGGTTCTTGCACTTACCCAGTCTCACCAGTAGATGGCCACATACGCTAAAGCTTGACGACAGGAGAGCACTGTCAAAGCGAAAATAACTCGTGAAGTGATGTTTTAATCACTGTTTGTGTCAATGAACCCGTCCATGCGGTGTTGCAAGGGACACACGCTGGAAGGTAAAAATAGTTAAAGTCATGTTTTGCAATGATCCAATAATCATAAAGGCATGTCTGTGTGCGTGTTGTTTGTCAAGGCGAGGCATGTGTGAAGGGAGGGGATCACACGCACCCGCGGACAGCCTTCTCCAAACTTTATTGGTCATGGACAGTTCAGGCTTATTCTCACGTTTAAAAACTCTGGTTGAGTGTTAAAACTGTTCTTGGACCTGGCGTTGTCACTGGAGCTATATGTTACTGTATCTGGCAACATCTGAAAGACTGTTTACAGCATGGTGCATAAGTATGGTAAGTGCCGTTAGCTAGGTATACTCACTATCACTGCTCACGTGCCAACTTTGTTATTGGCAAGAATGTGAATACTCCTATAATATATCTATAATATGTGGTATCCTCATCAACTATTAGTCACTAGTATTACTATATGCTTTAGCTGTTATGCTTGTTACTCACTAGCTTAGCAGAGGTAGGTAACATTAGTAGAAAAAATCTCAAATAAGTATCGCGTTACTTCAAAATATGTTTAAGCTAGCAACTCAAGCAAAAATAGCATGGATCTATTGAAAAAAATTGCCAACGAAATGACTGAATAAATAGTGCAAATTTAAGGGGATCTATTCAAAGAGAAATTATATGGACGTAAAACCTGATTATATTATATTACATTATAAGTTAAAGTACAATATGCAACCACAGATATGTCATTGCACTGTTTGGAATTTACTAAGATTAAACCTGTGTAATATTTGTTTTGTAGGTGTTTTTCCAATCTAATAACAAAAGTAGGCTTGTCTCTTTGCAGATCTAACTGGTAATTAAGCATTCTGATGAGGATATGGCCAATCTGTAGAACATTCTTGGAAAAATAATGAAAAGGAATTTAAGGACTTTTACAACTGCCAAATCAGCGGTTCTCAACTCTATTTATTACTGAATTATTTATGCATAGTTTTAAGGTCCCTGACTGAAAGGTTTCATAACCCCTATTGATAGTGTTTGATTTCAAAAGATAGGCATAGAAACAAAGATAACTATAAATATATATAGACACACACACACACACATTTACAATGCCGTAGATGTCCTAAACATATATGTCAATTTAAATATTATTCAAATAGTTATATGATAGAAAACAAATCTGACAAAGTAAAGTGTGTTTAAAAAGTAAATCTAGCCGTCAATAAAAGCGTATATGATTTTGCTTGTGCTTCTTGCATGGCAGATACGGACAGAGCTGTGTGTCTGCTCAGACAGTACCAGGCCAACCTCATTCATCCAGAGGAGCAGACACTCAAGACCAGTGTGGACAAAGTGTCGGCTGTTTTGGGAAGTCAACTTTTTAAAGCACTTCTAGGTATGAACGTGGCTGTTTTTGATGGTGCTGTTATTACAGTTTTACTCTCTGTTTATGGTTTGCCCAAACTTAAAGGTTTCATGCTATTATTGTTTAGTCTAACAATGTTGCTCAAGATCATGCTACATTCATTTGAAAAGGAGGTTGACTCTGAATATTTTGCAATTAATATTTTGAATATTATGAAAGAGGCCATTCAGCAGGTCCTGCAAAAGTTTTCTGTAACTGGCTAGGCAATTTTATTGCAACTAACCCCACAAAGGAGAAGAGAAAAGAGCTTATTAAAGTAAATTATTATAGTAGTATTGATGAATATGCAATCGCTTTATTATTGTCTTTGCAGGCTTCTTCAAACAATTGTCTAATTGTAGTTGCTGACCTCAGTTTCTTTTTAAGGACATGCAACATATTTCTTAACTTTAACCAACGCCTGAGTGGTCCCTCTAATTATCACATCATGTTGTGGTGCATGCCCCTGGCTCGGCTCTTACTCCTGCCGACCCACTGCTGACTCTGCTGGGAATCTGAGGGAGGAGCTGCCCTACTTCACACTCATTAAAATGTGTCTTTATTTTCCTAGTTTTATTTTCACTCTCAAAATTATGACAACATTGTTTTTTTATTCAAGTCCTTTATCATGTAAAAGAAAGAGAGGGTGTGCTGCTTGTATTTTAGTAAATATTGAGGGCATTTAAACAGAACATATGGTTGTATATTAATAGTAATGATGAACATTTATTGCCTTTGTATCGTACAATGTAAAACATTTGTATGGTAGCCTTTTATTGGTCCTGTCTGATGAAGCATTTTGTAAAGTGTCTTATATAAACATGTTTAAGCTGGTGGTTGCATTAGAATATCAACCACAAGCTTTGCATCACATCTGTTAGATAATCATTACAACTTGTAATTAGGACAGAAAAGCAAATGCTTAAAACATAGAACATTCAAAGATAAAAATATTTATAATTTGTATTTATATAAGGTTTTTGAATACTCAAAGACATTTTACATTTCACTAAGGTGGAAATGGTTTTCAAATCTGCATTCCTTGCATTCCTCACAAAGAATGTGCAATCATGGCCACATTGGCCAGCCTGGGGCAGGCTGGAGAATAAACGTCTTTCCTGAAGCTCTATGTACATGTTGACCAAAAGGCCCTTTCTCCCCTAAGGTTCAGATTACCAGTGCAGAAACTTGGAGAATGACTAACCTTGATGCATTGTGTAAAGTAAAGCATCTGATGTTGTGTGGGACGTTCCAGTTCGGACCGCTTGATTGGATGTGCACATGGTTGAACAGTCACGAACAAAGCTTTAGTAAAAAAGGGCATCAACCCTTTTGTTCTGACATACAGGCTGAGGCCCACAAGAGGACGTATATTGTCATTATATATAGATTAGATGCATATTTTTCATTTTCACCCAAATTTCCTATATCGTTTTTTGTGTTCCTGTATTTCTACTAAACTGTGAACACAGTTTGGTCTTTGGGTCTAGTCTTGATATAATCATGTTTTCCACATGGATTCTTAGATCTGTAACTAATGCGCTCTTGCAAACATATTTATAAGTGAATAAGATAGACAGGTATCTTAGATAGATTGCTCATAAGAGTTAGTATAAGTGAGTTTGCTCTTTAGTCAGCTGGGCAACCAACTTGTCTTCCCACACACAGCTTCACTCCTCCACATTCAGATCCAGGATGAGTCAAATGCTCCATTCTTACACTTTTGTTCTCACTGTGTCGTGTTGGGACATACTGTCTCTTATTGCTGGTTGTCTAATAAGTCGCAGCAAAGAAGAAATTTGCTGTCAGTGTTTCAAATGTATCGGGTCCCTGCTAATGTTGGCATCACATGTTGCACCAAGCTGACCAGTGTGTGGTAAACACATGAGTTAGAAAACAAGAAAGCCTTGCACAATCAAAATGCAGATGTCCAAAATATATTAATCATGACCTTTCAGCCATCATGTTTGTATCTTTTTCCTTTGGACTACAGTTTACAGTTTTTGTTTGGAGCAGATCAAGGAAAGAATGGCATGGAAATAATCTGTTCATTTTCTTGCTTTCTTACTATTTTGAATGTTCACTTTCACATTTCACATCATCAAGATTTTTTTGTGTATGAAATATCTACAAAATATTTCCGTTTTATAAATGTATTTCAATAATCGTATTACTCACCCTAATCAAAGCCTTATATGAGTCATAGCTAAGATACTTCTACTATTATAATACTATATTATAATACCTTTTTAGAGCAGCAGTGCAAATATGTCTTTAATTCATGTATTAGTGTGTTAGATCTGTAATGTGTGATTGTCTGATTTGAGTCGTTTTGTTTTAGAAAGTGGAGGCCTCAGACATACAGACAACCTCCACCTCCTCTTCTTCACCCCTGTGATAACTCGCTCTCCGTGTGCTTATGACAGTGTTGACTATACTTCAGCACCAGTCAGTAGAAAAAAGAAAAATAAGTTGGTTACTGCAGACGTTTATATATTGTTACATCGATGTAACAATATATAAGTAACTACCTTGTTTCTCTTCTCACAGATATTCAGGAGTGTTATGAGGTGACCTTGCAGCAGAATGCAGAACAAACTGTTGTGAAAGAGGCAAACCACCAGCAAGTGTGGGAGGTAATTTTAATACTATACGTTAACAAATGTGTTATGTGGTTCAACAGCAAACAAGAAATGTAATAAGGTTTTAATCCCTATGTTATCCGCCACTTAAAGTGATAGTCTGGAACTCTAAATAACTTACACATGTTAAGAATTGTATTAAATTGACCTCCTGGCTTTTAATGTTCCCGCCTTCCCTTCTCTTAGCTATAGCTCAAAATCCACGATGCCGTCCACGTTAACCAATCAAGTCATGACAAGGGCTGTCAATCATCGGCACTGATGCTCGTAGCTGCTCATGCTCAGTTGTTTGTTTTCACGGAGCCTCCGAATCAAGCCTCCATTAGGCTCTGAAACTACATGATAACTGAACAAAGAATTCTAAACATTCACGCTGAGTTACCCATTTATATACCGAACCTTTATCCATAATCAGATCCTCTGCAGATGTGTCCTAAAATGTTCAATTCATGTTAATGGCTACTTCCGGGTTTACCGCGATCCCTTTTTTTGTTCAATAAAACATTATTTTTGTCATGAAAACGTTAACAAATAATTCTGAAAACCTCCGTGCATGTGTATTAATAATGTATATGTATAATGTGTTCTCCGATTAACATTTAAATGTGTTGATTGATTGTTACAGAAACATAGGCGTAGACCAATCAGAAAGGAAGGGGAGGGAGCTTGCGTCGTTTTTTTCAAATCATGTACCACTCTCTTTTTTTCTGACGAACTCCAGACAATCACTTTAACTATGATTGTTAACATGAAATGAGTCTGTCTGAAATATAGTTGCTCTCTTAAAAAAAAAACCTCCTGCTAAAGAGATTTTCAGCAGGGAACATAATGTGACTCCAATTGTTTCCTTAAATCCAATTTTGTAATTGAATTTGAGCCACCGATAATTTTTGGTTAGAAACCTCAGGATACAAGTATTTTTGTTGTGACCTATTTAAGATGCAATGCACACTTATTTTTCAACTGCTGCTTGAGATATAAAGATAGCAAACTGTACATAATTAGGCCTTTATTGGGAAAAGTCAGGATAAATTGTAATTGAAATTATTATCCCACTAAACCAAGATAATCCTCTTTTGTTTCAGTACAGAGCAGTGGTAATAGCTCTCAAAGCATGATGAATTGTAAGCGTCGGATTAATATAATAATAAGATTTTAATATAATAATAACAATGCATCTTTTTATATAGTGCATTTTTGGACACTCAAAGACGCTTCTCATGTCAATATTTTATTCACTCCATAATAATTGTACACGTGGAATAATGTACATGTGTAATGTACACGATTATCAATTATTATTATGCCTGATGTTTGATTTTGCCTGAAAATAAATGAGTACCTGCATCTGTAATGTGGACAAGAGATATGCCAACACTTTGATCAACAATTTAAAGGTGATGGAGTCTACTTTAATCTTATAATGCATGCTGTCCTTCACTACACCAATTCAACAAATGGAAGGGTATTTTAAACGCTCATGTCCTAAATTTGGACTGGATTATGGATGGCTCTTTGAACAGGGCCGAATGTAAACTTCTTCTTTGACACCCTCACAACATTTCTGTGATCCATTCGACCCATCTGCTTTCCAGCTGAAGTAAGGACAGATTGAGGTGCTTAATGGATACCCAGCGTTATGCTTGTCATTATTCTGACTATGCTGTCATTAGTTAGGATGGGAGAGAAACAAACAAGTCTACATTCCATGATTTGGTGCACAATAGTTCAAAGGTTCTAGTTCCAATTGAAATTATTGTTTAATCGAACTGCTCGATAAGAGCCAGATAAATGAAGGACATGGCTCACTGACCCTCATTTGTACCTGGCACAAGGCCAGATTTATGTGTATGTGTTATGTACCCCCAAAATGTGTGTGCGCTTGTTGGTGCATAGTGCAGTACTATGCACTATGCATAGTACATAGTCTAGTACACTGTAAGTGTGACTAGTATGCACACTTACAGCGACAAACAGCACAGGAAAACACAATCATTACGGATGACATTACATTAAGTAAGCCTACAGTACATACATTTTACTCTACCCTACAAGCTCTTCAAAAGGACATGCGTTTTGATATTTAAGAGACTCATAGCCAAATATTTTTTAGGAACTACCTAACTTATGATGACATATGATCCTCAAATATTGTCATGAACCTTGCTCATTAAATTATTATGAATGTGAATCTGTGCTGGTGGCACGGTGGCTGGCAGTGGTATAAATAATAAATAATGATTTACTTACTTACGAAATGAAATTGCATGGGAAAAATGATTTAGCTCTAGTTAAACAAATTCACCAATGACCAGCTTAAAAACCAACAGCCAAAACAGCTTTCCCAGAAAAAAAACTGGTAAAGTTTCTAATAGTAAAACAATGCTATTAACTAAATATTGTATCTGAGAGTATTCAACAACGTGAGGGTTTAATTCAGTTTTTAGTTTGTCCCCCCTCTAAATACTGCCCTCTGCTGTCCATTAATTGTCTGTATCTGAAGAGAATATTTTACAGTTTCTCAAATGTGTAAAGATGACTGCTTTCAACCTATGTTTGCATTCTAAGCATTTGTCATCGCACCACTGGTTCATTTATGGTCAAGATTTAGAGCATCTTAAAGGGTCTCAAACCTATGGTGCATGCACACAGCCCAGTGTGTGCATGCATGTGTAAGAACCCCTTTGTATTTTCCTCACAGGACCGGATAGAGGAAGACGAGGGTGCATATATGGTACGAGTGACCAGCAGGAGGAGTCCTCACAAAGTGGAGCGAGTGTCTGGCCTTGTGACTCATTCTACAGTGGACTTGCCAGAGGTAACTTGTGAATGAAAAAAGTCACTATTTTTACAATCCTAGCTGTCTATAACTATTTTAATAGCCCGTTAATTTGTGAATATACTTCAGGATGATAAAGTAATTCCATTTAGACTCAATTTTAGGTGTTTATATAACTTAATTTAAAAATAAAAAAAAAATTATAATCGAAATAGAAAAAGGAAATGAGTTTGGGTGAATTCAAAGAGCTTAGGAGACATGCAATTATCTCAGTGCTAAAATGAGTGCTACAAAGTAACAACATGTTTTTAATATGTATTGGTTGCATTCTTTATTTCAAATGATGATTTGATTCTGCTACAGAAGCAATAACAAGCACATCCTGTTTGGACATAATTCTGTTTTGTCGAAGGCCTTGTTCTGACACCCGTTTTCACACTGCCGACACATGGCAGTCCTTTGCCTGCAGGCGTTGGCTTTTCACACGAGATCCCCTGCTACTGAAGATGGGGTTTGGGAGGGGCTAAAAAGGCGATATAAAACTCTATGATAATGAGAGTGTGAGAAAATGGAAGATAGCATGGTGCCGGTTTGTGCGTCTCTTTCACTTGAAGGAAGCTGCCATCATGACGAGGAGGAGAGTGGGGGTGTGGAGTGGAGCATACAGTGGGGGAGGCTACATTGAGGCGAGGGCCAGTGCAGTGCAGAGCTCGAGCGGACACACACAGCTCAGCCTTCCTGCAGGTTACCATGGAAACACATTCCTCCCCCGCCTGCATCCCTACAGACTATCTCTCTCTGTTTGGGCTCCCTTCTCGCTTTTTTATCCTGTCCTTTTCATTCCTCTTTTAATTTATGTTGTTTATTCCCTTCACTGCTCAATTCACGATTGCCGTATATGACAATGCATACTTGGAAATTCAATACACTGTGCATTTTCTTACTCTTTTGAGCAAGGTGATGGGTAATTACACAATTTACTTTTCGTTCCGTTCCGATACAGCACTGACACAAGCGCTGGGTGCTCGCTCTTTCTCTATTTTCTCCCCTCTATTTTTACTCTCCTTCTGTTCAACACTATGCATCAGTAATGCTTCTTATAGTCATCTCATTTCTGCCCTCAAAATGTAGGCTGTTTGTATGTTATTTCTTAAGATACATACCCAACATGTGTATCATTAGATGCAGAAACACCATCACAGCAGTTGAAGCACAGACCATTAGAATAGAGTCACCATTAGACCATATAGCCAACATCCCTCTTGTGTTCTTATGTTTCCCTCTCATTATTCTATCAGTTGGAGTATAGTGTGTTTGGTGTGACGCAGATGTTCACTGCCACTAAAGCCTATTTATAGGAACTCTAGCCTTGTAGCTTTGTTTTCAGCATCTTTAAATGCTTGCTATTGAGATAAATATTTTGTAGTTTAATTCTAAAGAAGTAGTTTGTCATTCATTACACAGACAGCGCACATCAATAGTTACAGCTGCATATATTTTAATAAGTATATGAAGTACTGATATTTTGTCTTTTCTATCTCTTCCTAGCTTCTGTGTGTGTGTGTGTGTGTGTGTGCGTGTGTGTGTGTGTTTGTCTGTGTGTGTGTGTGTGTGTGTGATACTGCCACTTTAAGGATACCTCACTACCGTCTAACCTTATATGGTTCTTAATCCGGTCAGGTGACAAACACAGTAGTCTTATACTCTGCAAGAAAAACCTAGAAATGACTGAAAAGCGCAATTCCTATTGTGTGCTGTGGATGGGGGCTGCGTGTTTGGTATGTGACAGGCTAACCAGGTGGAGGATGTTCTGACCAAAGCAAGAGAAGTGTGTGCATGTGTGTGTGAGCGCACGTATGACTGTGTATTTTTTGCACTTTATGAATCTGTTTGAAAACCAAAAGCACATTTTATAGCCTTCTTTGATTTATCTTTAAGTTATCTCTAGACCAGGGGCCACATTTGAATGGTGCTTAAAAGATATATATTTGACTACTGTTACCTATTACCGTATACTATTGATAACACTTAATTTGAGCCCTGTATTGTGTTAAAGTCCCTATCCGAACGCAAGAGAGGGTCTGCCTCTCATGCTTCTGCTCCTTACCGACTACAACAGCCCTCCTTCCATAATTACATATTTACATTACTACTTCAATAATTACAATGAGGTCATTTCTGACACTCACAGATGGCTGCACAGAAATGTCATTATTATTAGATTTTTGTTCAGTCTCATGTAAAGAGGGTATGTGCTTACTGTCTGTTTTAAGCTGATCACCAGACTGCCAGCATTTTCTCACATATGAAAAATTCAGTTACAAAATATACATAAACTAGAAAAGCTTTGTGATTGTGATTCGGATAACCTCCATGTGAATGGATGGATGTGAATTTGTGCAAGCCACAATTGTTCAGTGAAACTTGATTCAGCCACACCGTAGTCAAATAATTCAATGTAATGTGTCTTTGTGTTGAGCCACATGAAGGAGATATAGCACAATGCACATTTTAATCATTTGGTATCCAACCTTTCATTGTATAGCAATACATGTTCACAAGTGAATTGAAGGTGCTTTGAAAAAAAAACACACACACACATCAAGGCACAATATACAGTAACTGAAAGGTATTCATACGCCATAAACTTTTTGTCACATTATTTACGACCATTGATATTTTATAACATTTGTAACAAAACCATGTAAAAACCTCCATTAAAGCACATACCTTTTCCCAAATGCTTTGGTTATTCTACTCCATTATAATGTGAATATAGCACAGTGAAAGTCACTTTAGTTCTAAACTGTAACACAAAATGTATTTCAACAAAGAAATATGTGACATTTTGATGGAGACTTTTTTAACAAATTATCCGCTTTTTATTTTTTTAATATTGGTTTACATATAATTTTTTTCTGAACAAAATGATTACAGTTATGGTTGGAGAAAACCGGAACTGGACCAAAGGGAATGAATTCTTTGTATTATTTACAAATTATTTACAAATTATTTGTTTGTGAATTACGATGATCACATTTTGCGTTAATTATTTAGATCAAAATACATGATGTTATTGTTTTCTTAAGAAAATAATATTTAAAATGAGGTGCAACATGTCATGCATGCTAGCACAAATTAAGCTTTCATGGTGTTTTGACTCCCATTAATTTAGATATGGACCAAGCACCCTGGTGGGTATTTTTCTCCGTTGACCTGCCCATTAACTCTGCCACTCGTCTCTGTCTGTGCTGAAGAACAGCTTCTCCACAGCTATCACCTGATTCAACACTGGGCATGAGTAGTGTCAGTTTTCTACTGTACTCACTGTTTTTCATTGATTCCAAAAATGTAAACTTGATCTCATCTGACTACAGCACCCTCTTTCACGTGTTGATTTTGTCCCTCACTTGGCCTTTTGCAACTTAATTTCATTGTATGACTAATAGTTGTTCCGTGTACATTCCCCCAGCTGGGCCTCTGAGGCCATCAATATGTGACAGTGACCATTCATCAATCATAAGAAACTTTGTTGCACTCAGAGAAAAGGGGTACTTGAATACTTTGCATTCCCCATATTTCAGTTTATTATTAGTAAAAAAAAGGAAATTAATAATTCATGGTGAGTTTGCTTTTACATAATAAAATGGCAATACAATACCTTCATAAAGCAATAACATAAGTTCATGAGGTGTACATTTTATACTTTTTAAGGCACATGCATCAAATACAATACAGTGGAAAAACAAACTCACTATATGCAACACATTTATAAATTAGTATACATCTGAACTTAAACATGAACAAAGTTTCAAATATAGCTAGGATAGAGACCTGTGTTACATTTCCCAAACTGTATACATAAAACAAATTATTGAGGTTTTCACCCATCAAGGTTACAACCTGGGTGTGGTCATGTGCACTCCCATGTGTTCAAGATCAATTGACTCCACTGCCACTGCCCATTGTCTTTGGGTAATGCATTTATAATGCATATGTTTTCCTTTTGTAGCAACACTTTGCACTCTTCTAAAATACTATTAAACTATTTGTTTAGGAAATGTTGCATCAAGCTGATCAAATCCATCAACATACATAATAATCTTCAGACAGCCCTGTGCTCAAAATATAACATAAAAGTCATAGTGCTTTTCCTCTCTCACTTTCACTCTTGATCCACCCACTCTAAAGCCCAAGCGTGTAATCGTGTTGGTTTTATATGCGTGTTGATGTCATCTTTGAGAACAGAAAAAAATGATTACCATATGCATACGCTTCATCTATGTGGCTCAACTTATGTGACTCACTCTATCCATAATATTCATGGTCAGATATAACTTTTTCTTAGAATGTGCAATATTTGACTGTTGTGACTAATTACCCAGTATTTACCAATACTGACAGTGATCTGTGAAAGATATATATTTAGTCATGAATGACAATTGTTATATAATATATTCTTTGATTACATTTTTTGTTAATAACTGTTGTTGGTTTTACAGTTTTGTAGGCTCTTGGTGAGCAGTTGTTGGATAGTTCAGTGTAGGATTGTTTCTTGTAGCTTTCTGTGTGGAGAAGTACTAGGAGGTAGACAGTGGAGGTGGCGTGGCCCTTTAAGAACTGCAAGTGCAGTGCTCAGTAGTGTTGCGGCTGCTGATGGCAGTGCTGCTCTCCGATTGGCCAGGCGAGGTGCTGGAGGGATGCTGGTCTTGTGCCCCCTCCCTCCTGCCTCTCTGCCTCTTGCTCGCGAGCATCTCTCTGAATAATCCACATCTAGGGCGAGTGGCTGCGACGCGATCCAGTGCTCAGCTCCTCTTTGCAGGCTGAGACAAGAGGCAGACATCCACGCATGAAGAAAAACGTGAGCCTTTGAACTGGAACAATTAAGAGGAGATTTTCATCTGAGAATTTTGTTTATTTATACATTTTGTTTATATATATATCTATATATATATATATATATTTGTACACACACCTCAAGATATTTATATCTATATACACATTTATCTCTGTACATATCAGTATTTGTGCTCATCTGTTAATATTAATATTTTTATATGTAATTGTGTGTAAATATATATAAGATATATTAACGCCAGAATATATATATGTGTACACATATATATAATTATATATACATTTATATGCGTATCACTGTGAACCAAGAGAAGCAAGAGGACATTTTTATCATCAGGGCTGGTCTCTGATTGTGCGTTCGTATACAGTATTTTGAATATTTTCTTTGATCTTCTACGTCAAGAGGACAAAGACTACGTGCCCATTTTGTATTTTTGTTTCCCTGTTGCTGCTTCACATCCATCTTGATTTTTTTCCTTTTTCAACATCACAGAGGAATACCCTGAAGTGGCAGAGGATTTGCCAATAAAGACAATCTGAAGACATACATGCGATTAGTGTTATTTCTGCAGGCATTAGGGCTGTGTGATCTGATCACAACGCGGCTTCAAATCTGAGGAGCAGCAGCGACAGTGCCACACCACTCAGCAACAACGCAGCCAGCATAGCCAGCATGCACAAACACCACCACTGCTGCAAGTGCCCAGAATGCTATGAAGTAACCCGAATGGCTGCCCTGCGGAGGATGGACGCCCCGGCCTATGGTGGAGACTGGCAGGCTGAACCCTATGGATACCCACCTGGATACGCAGGAGGCCAAACCTTACCACCTCCAGCCTCAGGGGGAGGTGGGGGTATTGGAGGAGGAGGGGGTACTTTGGGAAGAAGTAAAGGCAAGATCATGTCTGGTGGGGGCCCTGGAGGCCCTAATCCAAAGGGCCAGTCCAAAGGAGCCCCTAAAGTAAATGGCAACAACTCCAGTGGGCAAGGAGGTTGGTGGCCCGAATGCACCTGCACCAACCGGGAGTGGTATGACCAGGTAATTCCTCTTCCTCATTCTCTGAGGGGTTGTGGGAGGGTATCTGGTAACGTGTAGTAGAACACACACCAATATGCATCAGCTGCTTGGGTTGTTGAACATGGGAGAGAAATTATATTTAGTATTAATTTGGAGCACTATGTTTCCCAATTATAGTCCTCTTCTAGTGATACAGCAACAGAACAGCGACAACAGTTAAATGTGCACATGGAGCCTTTTTCAGTTGTGGATTTCTTGCATGATGCTTCACACACCATCAAAGCCAAACTTCCCTTTTTTAGTAGAAGTTGTAAGAATCAATAATCGTATTTATCTATTTTGGAATGACGAAGCTAGAACTGATTATGAAATACAGAAGCATTTCTGTCGATGGCCTGTATTTTACCAAGCCTTACTGGATTAAATCATGGTGATTGTGTTTCTTTGTGTATGCACACATTGAAAATGACTGCCTCGTGAATGTGCAACCAGTCTTATCATTGAATGTATTGCAATTGGGAAACATGCTTGCATATCTAAAATTACACTTGTTAAGATTAAGTAAGGTGCAGAGATGTAAGCGTAAGAGACAGCAGGGTGGGGGAAGGGGCACACGAGATTTAAAAAAATGCATATGCAAGTGTCTATGTTTTCAATTGTGCTGATATAGGAAGAGGAGTTAGAATTATTGTATTGCATGATCGTGTTTAGAGTGGCAGGAAAGGACATGCAAGGAAAATGGAGGCTGGAATTTATTGGCACAGTGCAGAAGACCCCTGACATTTGAAGTGCAGCATAGCTGATTTTGCAGGTAATGCCATGAAAAGGCTTTTGCTTTAAATCAAATGGCAATGAGATTGACATCCAGCGAAATTATTAGGTAGCATATTGATTCACACATTCTCGCATTGTGAGTTCAGCGCAAGTGATTATGTAAGTCAGTATTCCAGCAGCTACCTGTTTTTCCCCCCCTCCCACTGCAAGTTTCAACCAATGCATAATGTATCGTTTGTGATTATCAGACACATACCATCCTTCTCGATTATCTGATGATCTCATCACAACAGCACATGCTAAAAGGCTGAGTTAAAGGCTTAAGTTATAAGGAGTCCTACGTAGCTGTGGCAATTAGGCTATTCTATCAGGCAGTAAAAGGCAAATAATCCAGCTCAGAGAGCCATGGGGGTTATGTAAGAAAAGACAGTTGGTGTTTTTTCTCAGTGAGCGAATAGAAGAAGAGTCTGTGACACGACGGACATGCTTCTATGCATGCGTCTCTCCGGGGTTACATGATGTGAATGCGCTTGGTGCTACATTCTGGGCTTCTTGTGAACAGGCTTTAGTCAGGCATGGACTGAGAGAAGGAAAAAACACGCCCACCTAAAGCCCTCCCCTTCTTGGCTTCTCAGTCACCATTGCTCATCCTTGGGTGGGAAATGTGGATACTGCCCATCCCCCCATTACCTATACTGGTGGAACGCTCGTAAATATGACCATAATTCTAATTCTTTTCAAATAAAGTTGTTTTTCTTGACATTTTGTAATCGGCTGCTGTGACGATTTACCAAAGCTTTTTTTGTACATTTTTGTTGTCCAACACGTAATCATCTCTATTTGATTCATTTGTAAATTCTTCAGACTGGTTAGTTTTCTGATAGTTAATTATTGTTTTTAGTAATAATAATGATAATATTTGAATCCATAAAGTAGAAACTGTCTCTAGGTTGATATAGTCAGAAAGCTATTTATCATTTCACCCTGCAGGCACCAATCTGTCTTGTATCTTCTCCGGCTCTGTGGTTATGATTAGCTTTAAATATTTACTTATGTTACTTATTCCTTATCAGTCAGATTTTGTCTAAAATATATTTTAGAGCACTTTGTAGCACTTTGTAGCACTTTGAGATTTGGTGTCAAATATAAAGTGCATTATAAATAAAATTTATTATTATTATTATTATTAACAAGAGACATAGACACGTGTTAAAACGTACAGTGGAAACCAGAAGTTTACATACACTGAGTTGAACTTTTTTTTTTTTTTTATTAATTTTCTGACTTTATAGGAAGTCTAATTTATCTTAATCTAATTTAGATATAGATTTAAATTAGATATAAATTAGTTAATTATATGTTAAACAGATTGAATTTGCCAGTGGGAAACCAGTGGAATAGACAAATATACTTCTACAAAATGTGCTCGTCCATATGTCTTTGACTGGAGATTTTGTTGTGAAATGCTGAAATACCCGATGAATATTAAATAACAAATAACAATAACAATTTCTAGCTTCAATATTTGTTAACTTGAGGAAATTCATTAAAGGCAATCCAGGTATACCTGGATTAAGTAAAAAGAGAACTACTTCCATGCAGTTGTTCCTTTCTTTACGAGATCCCAAGATTGATTACATGATTATGACGATTTATTACATAATTATAAACTATTGCGTTTACAAAGCACATGGTGAAAAACAAATCCACCGAAGTTAATTTGATTTATGAAGACACTTCTAAACTCGTGTGTGCCAATTGAGATGTGACTAACCAGTCCATTTGAAGTTGAGTTAAATTTTGTTTTGTGTGTTTCACCACACAAAGCAAAATTTTACAGGAATCATGGTGCTTTTAAGAACACTAAGGAAATTCAATGATTTTTACTGCAGCAACTGAGCATTTGTGAAAATCAAATTCTTTAGGTATTCCATTTGCTGATTGTGTGCTTGTATTGTAATTTATGTATCATAGCAATTTTATTTACAATTATTGTTACTCACAGTTTGACGTTACTGTAGGGAAAGTAATGAACGCCCTTGAAAGCATCCATAAAGAAGGGACCAAAACTCTTCAGACGGATTTGATATTTCAACTGGATTGAAGATCCAGAGATGAAGAGTTAAATAGGCTTGAACGTCAATCAGCAGACAGTCAATCAACTCTCATATTTATTTTCAGATTTTCAATCGGGTTCTTTATTTTATTATATAGCAATACTCAACGTTAGTAATTAAGCCCTGTAACTATAAGCAAGTGATCATAAGCCTGAAAATAAAAATAAAAAAACTTATCAGAGATGATAAAACATTAGGTGTGGCCAAACTAATTAAAGAAACTTTAAAGTATCTTTAAAGAAAGAACACACCGGTGAACTGAGCAACATCAAAAGACCTGGCTAGTTTGATACCTGCAGTAGTATGACATGATAGGCATAATAACCCTTGTTTAACAACGTTCCATATATCAAAATGTCCTGTAGCACTGTACTCTGAGAGCTTACAAATAGATTTCCCAGTCCGGTTTGGTGGAGTTCCGATCTGTACATGTGTATGCAGCCGGTTCTGAAGTGGAAAAAGTGTCCACATAGATTAGTTGCAGAGTGGAAAGTGAGGCCTGAAGATTGGCCGATTGGTTCTGACGACTGGGTTGCCTCTGGACTCTGTAAATGGCTATGTTCTACACTTTTCTTAATTTAAAATTGTACTTATTACGCAGTTTCAGCTTTTTACAATTAGACAAAGTTGTAGTTGTGATTCCCGACTTAGATGATCACTGCTTTTGCCTGTCCTGACATAATATACAGGAATATTTGGGAATTTCAACATTCTGTGAGGCTGGTTTCCACGTCACATTTATTATCAGCGGACAACAATAAGAGGGTCAATGTTTGTTGGTGTAAAGTATTAAAAGAAGACTTTTCCCCGTGTCTGTGTAGGTTTCCTCCGGGTGCTCCTGTTTCCCCTACCACTAAAAACATGCACAATATTATGAATGTAAATGAGAGAGTGAATGGATGGTGTTGGTTGGGGGCTGATGCGCCAGTGTGTTCGGCGACTCGCTTCCGTCATCACCGTGTGTGGAATAATTGGAACAATATCTGAACTTGGAACATTGTAAAGCCCTTTGGGTGACCTTGGTCTGTAAAATGCGCTATATAAATAAACATTACTTACTTACTTACTACTTTACCATAGATAATTTTCATGAAAAGATGTATACTCTTTGTGAGCCCAGTAACTGAAAGACCAGTTCAGAGATAGCCAAACATAGATAGCCTTGACAGTTCTGTGACAACATCTTATGGACCAAGAGATGAGACAAAGATCAACTTGTACCAGAGTAATGAGAAGAGACTGTATGAAAAGGAAAGAAACTGCTTTTGATCCAAAACATAAACTCATTACTGAAACGTGGTGGTAGTGTAATGGGGAGGGCATGTACTGTATATCTGCAAATGGAACTGATGCCCTTGTATTGATTGATGATGTGACTGCTGACAAAATCAGTGGAATTAATTCTGACATGTTTTAGGCAATAATGTCCTGTTGGAATCATGAACACTATCATAAACCTCCGCCCTTATGACCGTCACTTTATGCTACTGTCACTTTATGCTACTGTCACTTTATCCTACTGTCACTTTACTGCACTCTACGGCACTCTTAGCGGTCTATTGTGTGCACCAGGTGCACTTGTTTATAGTAAACTGAAGACATTTATGTAGATTTTTATTTATGCATGCCTTCTTGTTTTTATTCTGCCTTAACTTGTTTGCACCGAGAGCCAAAGCAATTTCCTAGTTTGTGACTTCCTGTTACTCACAGGGCAGAAAAGATTCTGATTCTAAATACTTACTCTCTAAAGAGTTTTTTTTAAGGCAAAGAATTACAATTCATTTCAATGGAGAGCCTATCCCTTGATTGAGTACACATTTCACTCACTGAAGACAAAACTGAGAAGAAAATGTCCCAGACAAGAACCAAACACTATTGTAATACTAATTGTAATATAAAGCATCTGCCGGGATGAAGCGTTGACATGCAACGGATTTGACTTAAGTAATAAAAAGTTAACGAACATTAGATTGTACTCTCAATTTCATTCTTTATTTTCTCCTCAAACAATTTTGAAGACAACTGTTTACTAAGAGAAGCTCATATCGGCTGGGTGATCTTTTATGTGATTTTTCTTCAAAAAATGTATGTTTCAAATGTATTTTTGAGTTTCTTCTAAAATACATTGTAATATTGTACACACGCTGACATTGCAAGTATTAATCAATCGTCAGCTCTCGAAACTTA